TAACTAATTGAAACCAGTCCGAGGATTCGCGTTTCTCCTTCAGGGTGAGAAATGTGCGTTCTCCGATTTAGAATTCGTGACCTGAAATCCATAAGAGGCGCTGTTAATTAGTTTCCGCCATTGTCCTCAGGCGACCATCTCTGGCAGCAATCGTTATATTGAAAGCTGATTGATTGGTTATTACATGTCTAATGAACACAAGTCTAGTATTACAGAATGATACAATAGCCATCCAAAATTCTCATTACTAAATTGCGGATGATGGATGACTCTACCGTGAATCTTTCAGGAAAACAAACTCCCTTCGGAGGGACCCACGGGGAAATTTTAATGTAGCAGCTAGGATTCTTGGAGCGGAAAAGCAAGTATGGAGCTCGAAACAAAATTGTGGTTTCGGTCCGAAAGTTTCGGGCATCTCGTCAGTGGCTCATATACATTCGAAATTAAGGTCAAATGAAGAAGAAATAAACTGACAGGTGTGGTTGAGTGAAAGTACTAGCACTAGGGACATGGTTCAATGAGGATTTTTTCAGGATAATGCAAGGCTAAAAACAAATTTAAGTTGTCTACTCAAACGACGTCGAATCTCCGCCGCTTCAGCAAAGCTTAACAGACGAGGGCTGTTTTGATATTTTATGACTCTGAGTGACTATTTTAGCTCCTTGCTTTTCGTTGCAATCCAGCAATTGACGAAGACTGTACTGGATGGAACTTTTAACCCACTGAGTATTGAATTCATGAAGACATGCTCAGAAATCTTCAATGATAACCCGCTTTTCAGACGTAATGGCTACTGCATATAAATCGAAAAGTGTGCACGCAACTGGAGGCAACCGAATATTTGGTGTGCCTGCACTGGTGTCCTTCAGCGTGCGTCGTGTTCTATTGAGCACAACTTGTGAGGACTTGTCACAATCGCCACTGCACGTCTGTCATCCTGTCCCTCAGTTGGATCGAAATGCAATGAAAACTGTTTTTCTAGAAGTCACCATCCTGTTTCTGTTGTACAGTCCTTGGTAATTTTGCCGGTATTACCGGTATTCTGCAGTAGGGTTGGTAAACAGACCTTGTGTTACCGTTCGTTCTTACTGTACTGAACAGGCTTTGACAGTAATGTAAATTCCTGTCCAGGTTGGGCTGTAGAAAGTTGATTTGATGAATAACCAATCTCCGTTGCTTATCATCTGGACGTCTGAGAAATGGGAGGACCCATCTGGATGTGCGCATTTGCAAATTAATTTGGTATTAACGGGGAAATCACCTGACGTTCAGCTGAATCTCTCGTTTATAATACTCATCAACTGAATGTATCGCACACAGACTGCCTCACGTTTTGGCTTGCAGGATATTCGCTCAGCTGGAGCACCTTTTCGGCACCTAGCTGCCATGCCACCGGAAGGAGGCACGAGGGCTGGTTGACATACACACGGTAGCCATGACATAGCCTAAACGCACGAGGGCTGGAATACTGCCAGGTTGACATAGCCTAAACAGGAGTAGTCGGGGTGTTGAGGTTGGGTTCGAACCACGGATCACCCGGTTAGTGAGCTGGCAACTTAACCATTGAGCTATCTCGAGCTCTCTTTTCTTAAATGAGCAACAGGTTCCGGTGGGATTCCACTGAGGATTCCGTTAATAACACTGAATCTGGAAATAGGCATTTTTTGGCAATTGTGTACAGTTTAGTGTAAAAGTAGAACATAAAGTTGTCAATGCCTTGGGGAAAAGCTCCTATCTGGTGAGCTCCAAAAGGGTCAACAGCGGGCACGGAATGTCGAAGGGCACTCAGCAACCTTGTGGAGAGCATATTCCACCAATAACATACACACAAATTCATTCATTACCAGAAGAAAGCTCTGCTGGAGCAACGGATATGCGACACTGCGAACTCAGTTTGTGTTGACAGTCTTGCCCAACTTGGTCAGATCGGCATTGAATCACGCCTTCTCTACAGCCCTAGTATTTTCACCCGATCAGCTCTTAGAACTTATGATTGAATAAGCCAACTAGTTGGGTCCAGTCTGTCCTGTTGTGATAATTCTCACTGCCATTAGATTCATAGCGGGGATTGGGTGTATGAAATTTGTATTTATTGTGAATAGTTGTGTACGTACTTGGTGTAAGAATGTAAGGATGACTAAACGTAAAATTTGCACCATGGCATTCCCGGTCCTTAGGGCTCCTAGAGTGGGCCTTTATGCGGTTGTCTTGAAAGCTGTGAATTCCAAGCCAAATGCCATGGTACCGAATTGAAGTGGTCGTAATTTGAAGGGATAGTCTATTTTGGATGGATCTTGTTAATATCTATAAAAAGTTGATGAATCTTCACGGATTTCGGACCAAAACATCTGAAGATGCATACGGTTGCACACATGCTTCTCCCACTTTATCAACAGACACCTACGGTAATGACATTTTGCGTTTAGAACTTTTGCGGACGTTCCAACTCATCTAAGCTAGTGATTTTTTCATAAAGGTGGGTTTTCGAGGAAAATGCAGTACTCCCTGTGTGAAAATTCTTCTAGCTCAAATTTGATCAAGATAGTGACTATTGCGACTACCGGTGGAAAGAAGAAGGCCTTGGCTGCGGAGTTACTTGCCAGAAAATGCCAACTGAACAGTTACAGACTATTGGACAGGGTAGCAAAAGTCCTATATGCATCTTGTTTACAAAAACTGAATATCCATCTTCTATTTGAAAGCGCCTTCCTGAATTTTCCTGGATATTGATTGACTGTTGCTCAAGTCCAAGCAAATGCACAAAGCGATTCCACAAATTCCACATGAGATCTCTTTTCAAGAGACGCAAAGCGGATTCACAGGAAAACAGACTACTCGCATGCCTCTCCCATCAGTAGCACCACCGTTACACCGGTAACGTCTAGAGAATCCGCATGCCTCTCCCATCAGTAGCACCACCGTAACGTCTAGAGAATCCTTTGACATGTGTTCGAGCTCCACTCCATGCCATGACCGGATTTGGTTGAATTCGGCTCCATCTATAGCACTGTGTTGGAATCACGCGTACACAGTCACTGATGTGCCCTCTAGTGATGGAGAGACTCGTAGCCAAAACACACAGATCTTCACTTCAATTTGTCGCAGTGGCTCTACCTCTATTTCACTCTAGGAGTTAAGCAACCGCTGACAGCCAAAACTACGATAACTTGCTCGAGGCGGAACAGGTGAGGTCACATGTATGCGAGGTTTCATTCCCTTGGTCCAAACCACAGCAATTTATTGGTGGAAAGGATACTGTGATTCCTCTTAGATCCTTCTATCTCACAGTCCTGATTCTAACTAAGCTTGGTAGTTTTATGAATTCATGCTATGCAAGACTAACAAGCAATCTAAAACTAGTGAGTACTGTGGCTCACCGGTTTCACGCATTTCTAGATTATACTCACAGTGAAGAACTTTATCGACCACTACGCGTTGTAGATACGCAACGCTCTTGGTCCATCGCTGGTCACGTGCAGTTTTGGAACATTACTTGTACTAGTTTCAACAGGACAGGATAATCAACTACGATAAAGACGCCCAATGGAACTTTTGAATCACTGACCTGAAATATACAGCACTTTTCAAGATATACAGCAAACGTGATTGGATTTTTTTACAATGACGAATGGCTTCTGGTTTACCAGCGAACCGAAGCTGTGTTCCTGCAGTGTATGGAATTTACCTAGAGTTCACTCACTTTCTTGAGGGTGACTGGCTGCTGTGCCAGGATAAGTCGGCTTCACAGATGTTCCGTGGTAGAATTGACTGAAGTCGCTAGTTTGAGTGATTCCGACACAGCACCGTCAACTACTTTGTAGCTTACATTTTTCTCAAATCCATAACTTAAACATCAAAGTGCACATGACAACACCACATGGTGTGAAATCTGATGTGTTAATCGTGGACACAGGTCACTGTACCATTCCCTAATCGTCACGTAACATTGAGTTGATCTATCTTCATCCCTTTCATAATAACTCTACGACAGTTTAGGGCGGCCCAAGATGTTTATAAAGGCTGAAATATCCGGCACAAATCACTTTACTACCTGACTGGACTATTCAAATGACCTATTCTGAGGCTGGTGTAGGCTTTTGGAAGATAAGTTTCCGCTGATTAGTTGGTATCGGGCGAATATCTCCCAAGACAACGTTCAGTGTGCTTGCACAAGAATACTGCTCCCACTTATAAAATTGTATCAAGACTGGCAGTGTACTTACCGATGCGGCACGTAATTATTCGCTCCGCGGCCGCAAGCAGAGTATTCTCTCTTTCCCCTCAAATGAGAAGGCAAAAATGAGATGTCAAATAAATTCGTTATCGATCTCAGGGAAATTCAGCACAAGATGACTGGTGCTGAAGGGTTGAGATACTGTCAGGTTGACCAGGTGTAGACGGGATGTCGATACGGTCCACGATGATGGTCATACTATCCTTAACGTAATTGCTCAAACCAATGCACCTTCAACTCATCACTCCTAGTAAGTAATAGAGTTCGCTGATGTTTTGAACGCCATGGGTGGTTGGAATATACAACACAAACATTGACCGACATTCACGAGGAATACACTCATTTGCAAATCAATTTGGTTTTCACGAGAGACTCAACTGAATCTCTCGTTATGATATTCTACAACTGAATGTGCTGCATACAGGCCGTCTCATGTTTCAGTTGGCACGATATTCGAGATATCGCAGTATATTTTCATAAAGGAAACTACCCACAAGGTTGCTGAAAACTCTTCGACAGCCCACGACCGGTTTCGCCCTTCATGGTTCTCAGCAACCTTATGAGTAGTAGCTTCCTTTATGAAAATATACTGCGATATCTCGAATATCGTGCCAACTGAATCACNGATTATCACAAACGAGAAATTCATTCGAGTCTCTCGTGAAAACCAAATTGATTTGCAAATGAGTGTATTTCTCAAAAACAGTCCAACTGAGGTTCAAGTAGAACATAAGGTTGACGGAAACTCGGGTACTGTGCCTACCTGATGAGCCCCAAGAAGGGCGAAACCGGTCGTGGGCTATCGAAGAGTTTTCAGCAACCTTGTGAGTAGTTCATCTCATGAAAAACTAAACAACATTCCTTTCGGAAACCACTACGTATACACAGTCAACCATCTCTGCATGTCAGTCCACTTTCATTCGCGAACAAACACCTGGAGGAAATTCTGAATCATACTGGACACTAATTATTGTGGCTGGTCAGCCTGTAAAAGGCACGCTGGATCCTTTTAGAGTTTCCGTATGGGACGGCGTTCCTATCAACGAAACTATTTCAAACTCTTTACTCTCCAGCCGGCTTCCTTGAAACACAGGTTGGCTACTGCTGATTTAAATCATAAATAGCTATACACCTGCTTCAGTGACAGCTTTTTCCATCTACTCAAACGCTCTTATCTGCTGTTCACTCCATTTCTACCGCACATTCTTGCGCACCAGGAGGCGAATCCATTGCGTCATCAACCAGTTAGTAGAACGTGGCTGAGATAATCGACCATATCCTTCAATCCGAAGTTTCCTCTAGTATTATTAGGAACAGGCAATGCTGAATCACGTGAATTCTCCTGGACCTGTGTGCAAATCATTTGATATTAACAAATTTCCATGTAAATAAACAGTCAGATATTCTACTGTATCTATGGGTAGACGAACATCTCGCTCGATACGATTGAGAATGCAGTTGGAGTCGTTTTCCCGCCAAGAGTTCACCCGAATATTGGTGCACTGTCGGCAACTGGTACTTTGTCTAACGCTTGAATCAAACCTTTTTGGAATAACGCACCTTCAACCTGACGTTACCGTCCGAATCAGTCGAAGGAACTACCGAAACCAGTGGGATAACTGGAATGATTTTCGAGTCCTTTTCCAGGAAGAGGGCGATAAACCAAACTTCGTGGATAGCTTCGCCTAGCAGGTTTGGGTACACAACATCTAGTGCGTGGAGTCTGTAATGTCCGTGACGCAGCACAAAATTCGACGGCTTAGAATCTGTGTAATCGGGCACATTGAGTTCCTTACAACCATTGCTATTCGGCCAACTCGATCGGTTGGTTCACCAACTAGCACAGTGGTACCCAATGTCCTCAGGCGATTCAGCTCGGTAAATAACATTTCACATGTTATCGGAACTGCACTATCTGCGATGGACAAGCTTACTGGAATAGGCACTGCTGACCTTCGACAAAAGCGTTAGCATGGAGTCCAGTGGACAGTTGATATCGCAGTACACTGATTCGGAATCGACCACTTAAACAGCACGTACGTACAAAGTGATTCCACTTACCACAGTTGGATCGTGTTCAGCCCTCCCCTCCATGCCGGACGTCTCTTTTATTTTTAGGCTTGTACTCTCACTGCGAACCGCTGAATTTTTCACCACGACAGCGATTAGCTCCGTTAGGTGAGGTTCAGAATCGAGGAACCGTAGATAACTGACAACATTAGCTCCATTGCGGCATATATTGATAAAGTGAACTGCCTACAGCTGATTGCAATACAGGACTTTTCGTATTATTTTCGTTACGAACGTTCAGAATACGGTCACGAATTAGGCACTTTCATGTTGGCGCAAAAGCTACGAGACTTAACGAGATTCTTAAGCGCCAGCTGGTCTCGGCTAAAGAACTAAAACCGCTCAAACGTTACATTCACTTGGCACATGCGTTATACGATTCCAGGTGTTACACTTACTGGGTCCCAGGGATCTTGGTTGCCTTTAGATGTGAACCCATTGCTAACGGATCGAGCGACTGATCTAACTGCATGCAGAAACACTGACATCCGCGGTTACTTGATTTGCGTCGACTGCACTCAGGAAGCCACCATAGCTTTTAGAGTTTATGGCTTTTAACCAGTTTGTTCAGGTCAACAAAATTCAGCCGCAATGGTGGAGAATCATTGGATACCTTTCCGTGGCTGATGAGTTCCCCTCTGATACCATATCAAAATGCGTTTCGTCGACAGATAAGCCTCCATCTAAGCAACTTCAGATTACAGAGGCAAACAAAGTGATGCTGTGCTTGAGTGAGCCTTTCAGAAATAGTTTTTTTTCTGGCCAATAGCAAGACTGCATTTGGTGCACTCAAGTAACTTCCAGTTCGAAGCGCTATGTTTTGTGGGTTTTGCGAGAATTTATCAACGTATTGCAAGACGGATCTACTGACGTTACGGATGCCGAACATGTGCACTATGTTGTTTTCATTTAGGCACCGGACGTAATTCCCTCATAATCATTTCTCCCATGAGTTTTTCCGCCAATAACAGAACCATTGGAATATCCAACGAGTAAGTCGTTCGCAATGGAGCAACCAAGACTTCGAACCATCTCCCAGTAATTATTGTTTACACTTTATCGAATCAAATGCTCATTTTGGACAACCTAGGCAGGGAACACACACCATACAGAGAAAGAAGCATGCGCTCGCTCCGTAGCCTTATGCATTGTTGGGAGGTCTTTATATTTTTGCTGGTAAGGAGAAGACGTTCTCAGCTATTTCCCAATTTAACCATTCAAATCAGTTCGGTGTTTTACTCAGAAAGTTTTGTGGATACTTCCCAGCTTAATCTGATCGCGCTATCTAAAGAGCCAGACAGTACTGGATGAGCGACAATGGCGTAAGTGGTGTTAATTTTCTGAGCATAAATCTCCCTTCGGAAAGAGCAGCTGTAAAAAATGATCCCTTTCAGTAGGTGCCTTGGAGTGAGTACTGACCCCGGAGAGACAATATTTGTCGGTATTTTTTTTTAGATCTATTTCGGTCAAATTTTCCAGAAGAGGTCGAGGATTTTCGGCTCACTTACACGGTGCTCACCTGGTATGTGTTCTCCTGGAGAGCGACTACTAGAAACCCGAAAAATTCTCAACTGACAAGCTAGGCCAAATACATTGCATACCGTAACGTATAGACCACAAGACAAACCAAGACCCTGGCTACACGTGACATCGCGTTCCTCCCCAGTTCAGTCGGTAGCTTGTGGTCTCCAAGCTTGATCGAACTGAAAACATCCCCCGTTTTTCGGTTCATATGGTTCACTCACGGTGCGCGGAAATCATTCATGCCAGTTTTTTTTTACGCTCAATGAATTTTCGCTGACCATGGTTGATTATCCTGGAGCTCGTTAGCCGCACAATGCTCTAAGTTGTAAAACCTTTACGAATGGAGTAAAACTTTTTGCGCCGAAATATGTATGTATGTGCTCAAACCAAAGACCATTCTGATCTACGTTCATATTTTTTCAGCTCACCGAATTTCACTGTCCATTGAAGCAATCAAGTCTCTGGCGGAAAAGTCTGGTGGAATAATTTCCCAGCATCGCTGGGATCCCGGGATGCCTAAACGGGGCTCAAAAGTGTGGACTGTTACTCAATTGCCCGATTACTTTAGTCCATCAGGGACATATCATAGCCTTCGAAAATTCCATTCCATTTGCAAATACTGAGCGCCGATTATCCTCGCCCTAGTTTTTCTTATTTGGATGGATTCAACGGGTGGAAGGGGAGGCAACAGTCAGCATAAAGGGACTTGTAGATATAACGGCGAAAGTGCAGTACAATTCGCGGGACATTCGAAGAGAAGCGGACCACACACGTTAGAAACAACTTTTTTTGCGAAATAAGTTATTCTGTCTAGTCTTTTACATTTGTTATCATCGCTTTCTTTTTGATTAAAAACGCTTTTTCTAAGCTCTTTCTGTAAGCGGAAGCAAATACATTCCTAATATGCAAGCTCCTTAGAACGAAGAAGGCTTGATACACACACAATAGAGACCACTAACACTCATTTTTACGAAGCAAAGTAAACCCTATCATTTTGCGGATAGGGAACAGTGATCAGATATCTTCCGTTAAAAAGAGATATCCAGCAATGCAACGAACAGATTCCCTAAATAAGACAGTCACACAAAGTTAATTGATAACGTCCATTAATATCTTACTGGTGCATTATCCACCAGACTATGTTTTTTTAAATCGCCACCTGTTCAGCTTGTCATTCGCCATTTGGATAGCTTTTTTGGTCGTGTGTGCGAGGGATTCGTTAGACGTTTCATATCAAACAAGATTCAGGAGTATTGGGCCGACTGAAAAGTGACTAACGAAGTTACATGGAACAAATCACCAGCTTGGATAAACGGATGCGCAAAAGTTAAAATAAAGAGTAGTCTGCTATAAGAGTCACGCATTTGAACACCAGGTGAAATTTTCAAAATCGGGATGCAAAAGATGAAAGTATGAAGTCAGTGACTAAGTCCAACTTTGTCGTTTACGTCTCATGCCCGGAGACGAGTTGAGCAAGAACAAGAGCTAGAGAAACACATGGGTATGACGCAATTCGTGTTTCGGTATCAACGTCACCCGAGGGACGCTGACACACGTGTGTGCACGCTGACTGCCAACCTGGTGGGCAGATAACGGGTGACCTGGTCAACAAGCAGTGAACGTACGCCATCTACCAATACTTCGACACACTGACAATGACTAAGTTAATATTTTCAGTTGGGCGTTTGTCCTGTAACTGAAAACAAATTTCGAGGGTCTTGTTTTACGAAAGACACTCAGTATGGCGAGTGATAAGTGAAAACGGGACATCCGGAAGTGCTGCTCAGTGGACTGCATGGAACTATTTTACTGTCATGTCAGCTGTCAATTTTACCGTATACGCCTGATACGCATTTCGGTGGAGCAGTTTCAAGCACACGTCTTAGCAAACACTTATCTGGAACTGGTTTAGTGCACTCGCCGCCAGAAAGTGAACAAATCGGTTGCACTCGGGTACAAAGTTTACCAACCACAAAAAAAAACCAGTATCTAAGCCTCAACTGTGGAAACTATCACATGTTTATACATCGCAGGTGAGCAACAAGCGAGCCCCTTCTGATATATATGGCTCAGACAAACAAGACAAGGATCACCAGTAGCATGAACCAGCCTTGCTCAGGTTAAAATAAACATGAGCTATGACTGAAAGGGTTCGTGTACGACAGTAAATGCTAGGAATAAAAGAACCGTCGAACTGCAGTCAAGCACGGATCCACCACGTTTTATCTTCTGCAACTACAAGTAACGTGACATACTGTCCAAGTCACCATAAGAAACTATGTTTTATTGAGGTCACGTCCTGTTGGCATCCATTTTATGTTCCCATGGATACCGCTGAGTTTGAACGATTGGCACGGGTTCGCTAACGAGCAAGTCAATTATAGTTTTGAGCACACGGCCTTCGGATGAGGATGTACTCCAGTCAGTTACATCCGGATTCTTGAACTTGCTTTCCAGGATTTCATCCATCCGCTTGCGTAGGTCCTGAGAGGGGGTGTTAAGAGAACAGATAAATGAAACTTAATGAATGATGGTTATAATACCCTCCAAACATATCGTACAACTTGTACGCATTCGAAATCATCATTGAGATGTTAGAGTCATAGTGTGATGATATTTATTTGTATAAAAACATTCAGCTGTAACACCCTTTAGGTGCCTAGCCCCTAGAAGGAAGCACGAGGACTGAGATACTGCCAGGTTGCCCAAGCCTAGACAGCAGAAGTCCAGAGGCAGGGGTCGGGTTCGAACCACGGACCTTCCGGTCAATGAATTCACGCTCTAACCGCTGAGCCATCTCGTCCTTTATTTGTACAGTTCTGGAACTAACTAACTTGCCCGACTTATTGTCATAACCACACATGAAGCTAAGCGATCTGTCTTCCCGCGAAACGAGTTCCTTACCTACTCTAGAATTGGTCAAGGAAAGGTAGTGATTCACCTTGAGGGATGAAGTGAACCGTTGACCACTATCGCAAGTGCCATTAATCTAACATTCAGTTTACAGCACATTGGGACCCATCTGCGCAACAAGAATTTTTCGAAAGTTTAGCCACTAGAACTGTCTGAACCAAGGGCATATCTGTCAAGCGACTACTCGGTCCGTTGTAACCATAGCATCACACAATCAATTGGTTAAACAGTTAGCAAAAACAGGAAGGAGTGAATGGTTAAGATAGGCGCGAGTGTCTTGACTGAACAAAAGATGTTATGACAAACTCAATGTGCCCAGACACCACGTGTCATACCGATTACTAGTATCACGAATATGCCCGGTTTGGCATAACTACAAACCGCCGTACGGTCGACAAGAGGCACAAGAATTAAAAGTCACAGCCCCATTTGGAGAGTGATCGACAGCTTTGAGAGGACTGTTGATCTTCTAGATGTTTCGTTAGTGTGGTTTAATAGACATGACCATCACATATGAATCAGTCATTTTATTTCAAGCAGGAACAGACCTGGGGCCGAATCGCAGGATGGTTGCATAATTTTGCCAAAACGTTTTCTGTTTTGCTAGGGAAGTTGAGAAGTTCAAGTTGGCATTAGATGAACTTTTACAGGGCTCGGTTATTTGCAGTTTCGAAGGCTGAGATGACGGAAGACGTGTTTAAGAGCAGAAGGGTCTGGATCGATGTGCGCAAAAAATGCTCCGAACAGCAAAAAACGTTTGGCTTGCACGAATGTGCGTGCACTTTTTTGTGTGAGACCTGTCGAGCAAAACAGACAGGGAAAAACACTCGTCTCCCCGTTATCGATCACAATCTATCTCCAAAATGTCCGGAAATGCGATCTACGACCTTACCTAGCGTTTGGTCCGCGTTAGTGCAACGGCGCTCGCTAAAAATAGGGAGAAACAGAAGGATATGGGATCGGGTTACTTACTGTGATAAGTTGAAAAACAGTGGGACTGGTCTTCACTTGTATCCAGTTGTCGACAGTGAACGTGGAGTCCGACGACTAAAACGTAAAAAAGGGTTGTTCTGACTTAATGAATAGTGAACAAAGAGGTTTAATTTATCCGAATGAATGAGCAGTGGATTATGTCACAGCAAATGCAGTCGGCTTAGTGTGAAATGCACCTATTGTATTGCAAAACCAATCAATTCTTCGCAGTAAATAGCAGCGAGCCAGTTACCGCAAGATCGTGCTATCTTCAGCACTAACTCTAACATCAATACCGTGAGAGTGATGTAGTAGAAATCAGCAAATCCAATTAACTGTAATGCAACAAAAACCAACTGAGTATATGACCGATGATCGGATTTCGACAATTCGCTCCCGTTCGATTCAATCTACACCCTTTTCTAACCTGATGTGTCTGACTCCCGAATTCGTCTTCCTCTAGTCATTTTCCTTCCTCCCATCAACTGGTAATGCTGGTTTGAGAGATTCCAAAAAAAAATCGTTTCGTCTTCCGCTTCTTCGCTCCCACCTAACGTATATCACTTTTAAAAGCTCAAAGTCAACGTTTGAGCATTGTTTGTATGTCTGGATTGGCGCCAACCCAAATTACTCCGGGGTATGGCAGTGAATACAGTAGAAAACTATTCGTTGCCAACCAACAATTGCTGCCCTTATTCATCGACCAGATGTGGTCTTTTGGCGCTAACCAACGGTCGGCTTCTTCCCGGATTTTGTCGCTGGTATCCTCATTCCATAAAGTTTAAGATGTTCCACTTATCATTGCAAAAGTAGCCACGGTTCTCGAGTGACCTAACTTCATGCTTTTCATTTTCTCTAAGGACGGTCAACTTTCTGTCTTTACCACCTTTTCAGCCTCCCTATTCAGCGAAAGACGTTTGGCTTCCTTCGTTTGAATGTCTTCAATTTTTTCCCTTTGCAGTGTGTCTCCTGAATTTAGGGCTACCATTTCCCTTAATTTCATACAGAAAGACCGGATCATCTGTAAGTTGTTGACTGATTCACACACATTCGTTTGCAGGCCTGACCCCGAGCCATTCTGAATGCAGCTTTGTGAAGTAACACACAACTCATCACTTGATTTTACTGGAAGGAGAAACGCGTACAAAAGATCGTGACCATTGCTTAACTGTCACTTACAGCATCACTTCCAAATGGGTGCGTGGACCAAACAAGGTGCGATTACATGCCCATCTCATCTGTGTGAAGACCTCAGACAGCCTTGGCAGCTAGACCTTCACAACAAGATACACTGTTACATAGAAAATATATGAACAGTTCGCCAAACCAATCGTCCCATAAGGTATTTTATGCAAAATGCTTCTACAATACAAAGTAGTGAATAGTGCACGCTAAGAAAGAACATGTGAAGCGCAGAGCAACTCGAGTTAATGGTGACCTTCACAAAAATTCGTGAAACTACTCGCAAGGTTGCTGAAAACTCTTCGACAGCCCACGACCAGTTTCGCCCTTCTTGGGGCTCATCAGGTAGGCAGAGTCCCCGAGATTCCGTCAACCTTATGTTCTACTTGAACCTCAATTGGACTGTTTTCGAGAAATACACTCATTTGCAAATCAATTTGGTTTTCACGAAAGACTCAACTGAATCTCTCGTTCATGATATTCTACAACTGAATGTGCTGCACACAGGCCACCTCATGATTCAGTTGGCACGACATTCGAGATATCGCAGTATATTTTCATAAAGGAAACTACCCACAAGGTTGCTAAAAACTCTTCGACAGTCCACGACCGGTTTCGTCCTTCTTGGGGCTCATCAGGTAGAATACCATAAACGAGAGATTCAGTTGAGTCTCTCGTGGAAACCAAATTAATTTGCAAATGAGTGTATTTCTCGAAATTCGTGAAATGATTTCCATTGTCCTTTCAGCATTGTTCAGGGTACATGTATCTACCAGAAACATCGACAAATGACACTATGTGAGACTGATATTTTCATATCGCGAACAAAAGACAACTATTGGAGTGCAATTTTGGAGAGGTTCACTGCGAATATAACCCGGGAGAAAAGTACGCTTTCTATCTAACCGTTTTCCCGAGAAACAGTCAGTGGACAATACCGACACGAAGCCCCAGAAGTGTAAGCAACTTAATTACTCTATTTGATAATGCAGTATGAAGTGCTGGGAATAGACCATGCGCCGATTTTGACCGATTCACGGAAAAATAACTGCGACCGACACAACTCCAAATGAAGTACTCACCATGGTTGGCTGAATGATTCCCGAAAAAAATAGAACCGGTCGCAAAGGGATGATTGTTGTATCCAAAACTGTTGGGTTCTGTAAGCATCAAAGTATGAGCATAAATTGACGACAATCTCAAGGAGGTAAGACAAACGGCGATACCGATAAGAGCAGAAACTGTATTATCCCTCAGGCACGACAAGACACTGAATCAACCGGTAGGGAAGGCACAATACATTCAATCGATGCGGTGCAGATTGAGCTGGTACAAGTGGAAACCTAGCTTAGCGGTGAGCCTGCGTAACTGATGAAAATGGTGCCAGATCACCAACTGCACGATCGATAGCTATCGGCGGCTCCCAGATGTAGGCAGGACACGACGGATAACTAAAGACTCTTCTTACGTCAGCGCCAGGAAGCTTTCCTTCAAAACTGCGATAGCTTGCAAGCAGGGTGAGGTAGGGAAACGTGCCGACCACGGTTGCAGGACGGCCAAATAGCTCATCAATAAACTAAGTCCCATTTTAAGTTCCACAAGAAAACTGCACTTTGACGAATGATTACATCGTTGTTGGAGACACTGAGTCCCTGAAATAGGTGACGAAAATTTGACCAATTATTTTCTTCACTGAATTATGGGGCGGATGTTGTAATGCAACTTGCTGAATGAAGAAAGACCCGAAGAATCTGTCCTCAGCCACTGTGCAGGCATTTGTAGCACTCCTATTTGACCTAGAATATTGCCGAAAAGAAAGACTGTGAAATTGCGACTGAACAAGTGTATCTACCCTTCTATCCTATGGCACTTCCAAAGCGTCGGCACTTTCGTTTGCTGCAGTCCAACAAAGTCTGCTAAAGATTGAAGCCAAGCCAATCGGGTAAAATGCGGAAAGCACTGAGACAGCAAACAAGAACAAACTTATTTGGAGAACACAAGAGACAATAGCTAGTCAGGTTAAGATTCATTGTACCCGTCTCACTTATTTGTAGGTCAACTCAACACTAGGATAGTGAGCCAATCACCTTGTGGCAGTTAATTAGTCGGATGGTCAGCTGTAAGCAGCGTACCAAGGTACATATCGTGGCCACCTTACAGCCCTTATTTTCTACTCTAAAGACTCGGCCTTGTTACCAATCAACGACTACCAGTCAGTTAATTCCTGTTGTGACAAGATGAACGTTTGGATGCAGAATACTAGTAAGCAACCAAAAGCAGATTTAAGACACAGTGCCTGTTGCCATTGTATGGTCAATCGATCTAAGATACGGCTCCTGGAAGGGTAAGAATTGTATGGCCAGATGTAACAAGTGTGATCATGAAGCTATTCAAACCTAAGAGATGGCTCACAAGTAGATACTACTTATATGGTGGTTTTTGAATGATCACGCAAAATGCAACCGGCTCGTCACCGATTAAATCGTTTGTCTGGAGCCGAAGTCAGATGGGCATGCAGGGTGTGTCGGTCGAAGCGAGATCAAAACAGACGGAAAAACGAAAATGATGTTAGCAGACAATATTTACACTGTCGAACAACTGAAGGAGTTTGTGTTAAAGCGAAAATCGCAAACTATGTTTGAAATTCGAGATATTCCGTACAAGCTACATCATATTTATGACCGGAGAAAACGCGATGAAGAAGGATGAAAAGTTTGCTCTGAAAGACTACTTCTAGAGGCCCTCATAACTGTTCGCGCAGTTTTCTAGAACCTGTTGGGTTCTCAGAGGAACCACTGGACCGGATCAAGGGACCTCATTTTCATGATGCTCTCCGTCTCCTGATGAGGATCGAAAGATAAACTGACCAAACAGAAACTCACAAGCGATTTTTCGGTCCGAGTTTTTGTAAAGTACACCATCCAGACTGGATCCGATGCCCAAACATTTCCATTCACCGACTTCGGACTGACGCTGATTTTTCCTTCGGATGGTCTGGCTATAACCTTTGGCCGTTTGACACGCCCGGCCCTGTAGAAAAGGGTAGCAATAAAGCCCGATTAACTGTGGTGGTTTGGAAAAGGCATGCACCGAGGGCGACCGAAATACTCTACCATCCCGATTTGTTCAAAGTTGGGCGAAGTTTACCGCTGGATTTATTCGCGAAATCCCCAATAGAAAGGAGAGGAAAACCGTGGCGATTTCGACCCTACTACTCCCCCATCCACCCCCCAAAAAAGATAACCTTTTTGCCAAAATTAGGGAACGTGGACACTTTTTGGTGCGGCAATCGACTTCTGTTTAAGTGAAGTAAGCCAGGGTGTTTCAAAGCAAAGTTTAACCTTATGGTTACCGGTTCCCTCTTAAAACTAGCTAATGAACTTGACAACTATATAAAGGGATATTCCCATGGTCGATGTGTGATACGACAAATCCTGAAATGCGAAAAAGAACAGAGCTTAACTGTGGTTGGTATAGTTTTTCCAGTAAAAGCTGAGAACAACTCAAATTCTAGTTACCCAAGAAACCTAATGGAAAATTAGTTGTGCGACGGCTAATTCGTCTGGTTGGCGTAGGTTTTCATTCGCTGATTTCATCAGACATGAGGTATTTCTGCCCATTAAATACGAAATGAAATGATGTAAAAGTGTACTGGTGATCTACAGTTAATGCTTATCAATGTGAGGCTTGCATTATCGACAAGAATTTGTGAAGCCACAGAACTCCACATCCACTGTTTACGGATATACATAAGTATATCACCCCAAATTGCACCGATGAATGCAGAACACCCTCGAAAAGCCACATGAGTTTATCGTTCCAATTGAGATCGATTACCGGCCAGTCAAGCGTAATCACGCACCAACATCCAATGATAGATCCATTTTTAGACGGGTCACCAAACTGGTTTCCACCATTTCATCACCATATATGGATACAAGGTAAAAGTTAATCAATCCGTCTATTGGTGGGTGACTACAGGGGAGTGACAACTGGCCGATTCACGAACGGTGTTCTATCAGGGAATTTGTATTCATTGATTTCCCTCGGATAATGTTCCTTACGTGATGAAAACTAACATATTAATTGTAGGGTCAGAGTAGAAATTAGATTATATTAAAAACGCAGGATTTTTAATTTTTTGACTAGAAGAAAGCGGATTTCACCTGGGACACTGTCAGAGTTGATACCGCGATGCAGTTTTGCGGGGAGTGATTCAGCCGGTACGTCCACTACCATGTGCCGTACGATATAAGGTTACTGTAGGAAGATCGCTTCATGTGGTTCGCAATATGAAGACGCACCTATGCGTGGCCATTCATCGGTCATTGTATTACGATGTTATGCACGACGAAACTCTCTGCAGTAATTGCATTCCGAACCAATCGTACCGCAGGAGCGGAATGGTTCAGGGTGCGAATTTACTGACCAGAAGGTCCGCGGTTCTAATCGGACCTCCGCGTCTCGACTTTCCCTGTTTGGGCTTGGGCAACCTGGCAGTATCCCACCCCCTGTGCTTCCTTTGGATGGCATGGCAGCTAGGCACCAAAAGATTGTTACACCTTAACGATTATTATATCATATACTCGTACCACATGAAAAGTGCTATCTTTGACGACTCAAGTAGTCGACCTACTTTAGTTATTGGGAGAGTGGAACAAGTCAAGAAGGTGATGGGATAGTATTTCTACGAATAAAAAGAGCACATTACTGTGTCACATGGGTGGATATGTACACACCGTTGGTGTTGGGAATAGGAGCACGCATATTGCCCGGCGGCATTAAAATAGATTCCACCTCATGTAAGCTCTTCGTTGGGCTGTTCGGTGTCGTGCTTATGCTAAGTGTTCCCTGGTCTAAACTTGAGAAGATACTTACCAATTGTCATCCAAGATGGGAATTTTACTATCCTAAATACAAATAGCTACTCACTTTGGATTCTTTGAGGACAAATGGAATGATCATCGCAAAATGAATGAACATTCATCAACGTTTGAATCGTGGAAACAGGAGCCGGCGCAAACTCGTTCTTTGTTCCTGACGCACGGTCAATCAGTTTGAAATCCGATAAATGCCCTCCACATCGACGTCGTAGCAGACACTACCTTACAGTTACCTTACAGCTACCTGACTGTTACCTTACGTAACAGTGTGTTCACAAAATCCTGGGAAAACTTAAAGATTGCGATACAGCTTTCAAGAGAACCAGTAATGCCCGTGTGGTAATGCTGAACATTCGCGCAGTGCCACAGCAGTAGGTCACACACCTTTCATCAAGCAAGAATCACAATCTTAATAAATGCAAAATGACCCTCACGTCTCGTGTTGCTCAAGGATACACATGTTTTAAACGGAAGAGTTTGAGAAACCGCTGCTAGACTGTGTTAACCTGAGCAGGCTAGTAGAACTACGGTCACTCACCGCATACTACAAGAAACCACAATACGTAAAACTTACAAGATGAGTTGAGCCAGTGAAGAATGGGTGGCCACAGGAAACCGAGACTATCATAAACTGACTCTTGGTAAGGATGTGGGTGCAAGGCCATCGCGTGCTTGCGGTTAGATTATGATGACGGGTTATATTTACTTCTGTGTTAGTATGGGAAACACAACACCTAAACTGGTTGGCGCTTCTCTGAGTTTGACAATTTTGTTTGGAACGGTTTGTCACCAATCGAGGAGGGCATTATCGGTGCGTCATTGTGAAACAGAGCAGGGCGCATACTTATTTCTGGTGGGAAAAAAGTAAAGTCAGCTAGGATATCGTTGCTCGTGATAATGGCCATGGTTTATTAGTGTTATCGGTTTAACTATATTGCCCACTTATGGTCATCATACACCTAAACAGAACCTTCCTGATAAGAATGACGATCCCGAATACACCGTGGGGACAATGAAGTACCAGTATTCCACGAAATGAAACTGCCAGACCCAGAGGACAAAACAACCATAAACTATATATTAGCTGGGCCACCAATCTTCATTTCTATGTCAAAAGAGTGCTACCGTTGAAGGCGAAAGATGGAGTCATTTGCTAGCACTGTACGGGGAAAAGCGAGCGGGCTTTTCGGCAGAAGCAATAAAATGGCCGCGGAGTTATTTGCCCTCTACATTCTCAGGAGAGGACGATTTTTTTTGTAAGATAGTGTACCATTCTTATCCAAACCGATTTTTTTGCAGGAGGTTAATGCTATATTTTGAACGGTGCGCGGTCACAGAAAAGAGGTATTTAGCATCAATCCTTCCTCAGATGGACGGTAAATTTGGAGATCAGATCACTTATTCAACACAGCGTAAATCTCCTCACTGGAGAGACTTGTGCGGATGAGGTGCCAATTGAAATAGTGGACTGATATTCTCGAACTCCTTATGCTGACCTGAAGCGCCTTAGAAGTAACCGACTTCACACAATACATGGGTTAGGTTGGAGAACGTGGCGATGGGGTTCACACAGCTCAGGACGATAAGACCTCCCTGGAATTCTCTTGTTCTCTGAGATACCGTCATTCTGGGATGAAGAGGAAAATGCTTATTTATACTGTCATACCATACTATTAGACGACTACCCTTAACCAAGTTATATTATCCTATACTATAACAAAGACTATAACAAACGAGAGATTCAGCTAAGTCTCCAGTGAAAACCAAATTGATATGCAAATGAGGTTATTTGTCGAAAGATTAACAAACGTTTCGATTGATCCAGTGTATTGATGACCTAATCGCTCAGCTGTAATGCTCTTGCGGTGCCTAGCTGCTCAGCTACGAAGCACGAGGGCTGGAATACTGCCAGGTTGCCCAAGCCTAGACAGAGGAAGTCGAGAGGTAGAACCTACCGGTCAGTAAATTCGCGCTCTAACCACTTAGGCTTCCTTCGGGTTATCAGTTCCTCTTGCACTGGCCTTAGATTGTATTTCAGCATGCATGCATCGGAATTTATCAGCCATAATTTGCAGTAGCTTTTTCCCAGTTCTAGCACCCCTGTATTAGATGCAGGCACTAGGCCAAATCGCTTTATTTTCACGTGGATTCACAGAACGGTAGGCGACTGAATTAGCTCAGATACCGAGTAGGCGTCCACTGACTGACAAGTACAGTACAAGTTTGGATAAGAGATCTACTGACAAGTGCAGAAGATAGATAGCATTAGGCTCTTGAGTGGTGGAAGGTGAGACTTGAAAATGGGAACAAAGTACCACGTGGATGGACAAAAAACGCTCGGATTGAAAGAATGCTCTGAAACATTTATCCAGTCCATATGAAATTTTCAAACCCATTATAGCTTACCGAATCGTCGGCATCAGTTTGAGAATGTTGGGAAAGAGTGCACCGCATAGGATGGCCCGAAACAGAGGGAAGTTATCTGGAAAGGAGGGAATAACTTTTAAAGTTTCGAGTCGTCGGATGTATAAAGGATACTTGATCATTATATCGCGATTAAAAACAGGGAGCTAGGTAATTGCACAAAAAAAGTACGGTGTTGATAGATATTTTGCAGGTCTCTAAAACGACAAAACGCAAAACAAGAGAAAATATATCTTGGATTAGAACCGCACGTCAACCTAGTGAGGCCACGTGTTTCCTGATTACGTAATCATTCGAGCAAAACAATGTTCTGAGCGGTGATCGTGGACTGATTGTAAAAAGTATTTTTTTGAATGTCCGATAAAAGAGATGTTATCTTTAGGCACTATGAAGATAGCAACTACCGTGTATGCATGATTTTGAGGTCACACGACAATCAACCGCCGACTTTTCGAGAGAGGTGAGCAGAATATCCATTAGCAGAGAATTCCACAGATCACAACCGTTGAAACATAGAGTGAAAACACACGACCCTGTAAGTTTCCATTAGGACTTTAACCAAAAACAACAGTGAACAATTACAGATCATCAATAGGTACACACAGTCATATAGTTCTAATATGACGTGCCTAAACGCTGAATTGCAAGAAGCTTCCTTTCACCTAGCGCTCAATTCCTGAACACAAGAAAAAGGTGGTAATGTGCTGCACGAATGAATAAAACTTGCTCAAAGAAATGTATGCTAATTAGGTGGAGCTGGACAAAATCAATACTACGGGATCTAGATCAATAAGGTGGAAGTCTAACAAAATGCGCATCCGAAAAAAGGTTAGGTTGATGCACGTGCGCAACTAACCAGGTAGAATCGACCGTAGATCCAACAAGAACACAATGAGTGTGGAAAATTGAGCTACGCATGAAGGAAGACACTAGTGAGGCGCTGAGCTTCATACATAGTATGCGAAATGCTGTCGCAGTCAACGTTTTTTCTCTATTTATCGGGCTGAGGTTTACAGTTTTTTGACACATCACGCAGCAGCTATTCACTAAGTCCCTCATCACTTTCGGTCTGGAAATCACAAAATATCATGCTGTGTAGGAAAATGGTGTAAAACGGTATGTTGCCCGTTAGAATGAGTGCAAAAACATTCACACTTTCCTAACTGAAAAAAGACTTATCTTGAAATATGTTTGATTAAACTCTGGACTTCCCTCCCCATATTCCCTACCTTTTCAAATTGCTACCTCCAGAGGACAGACGGGCATACAAACCTCTAAAACGGTTTCTATCAGGACAGACTAGATGGCCGTCGATTCGTTCGTCGAGCTGTCAACTTGGGGAAAACGTTTGATCACCAATCTAGACGGCGTCATCATTGCACAGTGGACCAGAGTGGGACTTAAGTAAAACACCCATCCCACTTTGATTGGCGATAAAATGCTCGCAACCATCATTCTCGGGCCACGACAATTTAACAACAGAATAGTGAAAGTTTTCAACCATAATTATACAGTATGGAATGAACTATGGGGTTGGAAATTACCTAAATTGACCGTCTCCATTATCCCTAACTTATCTTTCTAAAAAAATGGAGAAATTCATCCTAATTTTGGAACCATGGCAAAATGATGTTCCCGTCGTACAGAAATAATACCCTAAATCATATCAGTTTTGACAACAGCTACCCCTTCTCAACTCGTGTCAACAACACGATAAATAGATACCTGAATCTCTCCACCAATGAATACCGCTTTGTCCGTTCGTGATTTCTGGAAAGATGAGCTTGTACCTAAAGGAAACTACTCACAAGGTTGCTGAAAACTCTTCGACAGCCCACGACCGGTTTCGCTCTTCTTGGGGCTTATCAGGTAGGCGCAGTCCCCGAGTTTCCGTCAACCTTATGTTCTACTTGAACCTAATTGACTATGTACTGCTTGTATATCCTAATCGGTCATAAAACCACCCACACCTCCGTGTATTTCAGAGCGAAACATTCAGATATGTTCGCTGGCACCGAAATCCGAATTGAAGGACTTATTCACCTTCTACCTGGAGATTAACTCGATGAATGGGGCCAGCGGGGAAGTCCACTTCGTATAGTGAGTGATTTTGGGTTAAGGCCTTATATCCTTGAAACCGTACAGATGAACTGGCCCACGAATTCCTCATCAGCGCAATTTCATCGCAGTGCATCTGCTACTCATCCAGACGACCCTAAAGGTCGAAATTGTTTGCCTTTTCTAATCTCAACAGCGAAGGTCGGCGTACTATCCTCGAACTAAATCAGAACGAACTGTGATTCTGCCCGAGTTGCGATTACAATTCACGATCAATGAGGAACACGTTATTCGTCACCGTTCATTATAATGTGAATCAATGAAGTACACTATTATGATAAGTTTCGTGCTATGCTTAATCAGGAAAGGATGCACACTTTCATTTGCCCAAAAATTCTGTAGGACGCGGTCTGTATGCATCGTGTGATAAAATTCGTCCGGGACTAGCCTTAAGCCAGCACTGCTTATCGAACATATGCCGCACGAATCGACCTACTGTGCAAGCCCACCCACCATCATAGTTGTGCGTCGAATCCTCACATGTAATTTGACTAACAGATAAGCAGCTTAGGTCTCAGAAATTAACAATGTCTGGCCCATCACGAGAGTCACCCGAGAGACTGGCTAACTGTGTTGACATAGACAGACAATTAATCTATCCGAAAGAGCTGTGATGAATCACATGTGTAATTTAAGTCCACAAGTATGGCGCAAGACAGGTAGATCATCCTATAGACCGCGAATCTCATGGGGTCAAGTCAACCCACGGGACCATAAGATTGTACCCAAACTTTTCATCTCAAGGCCTGCAGAACACCTATCTAGTTTCTAGCAATGTTGGATCGGCTTGTGTAGTTCTTGCTGATTCACCTAGATGCTTACTGAGGTGAAAGTGAAGGCAACTGGCCTATCAATTCGAAACAGAGGAGTTTCAGACAGTTCAGTCAATGAAAGTGGGCACTGGTGTCCGATCTCAGCCACCGGATCGATTGTAGACAAACGGTTACGCGTCATCTTCTGGTGAACGGTAGTAGGCAGAGAAGTGTACACAAAGCCTCTCGATCCAAAGCCAATTGTCCTGTCACCGAAATTGGTTGGTTTTTGTGTGGTAGCGGATCCTCCAGAGTGGATGAGATCTCATTAGTTGCCCAAGAAAAGCAACGGCGTGCGGTTTCTGGGAGCCGAATTTTTACTTCAACAATTAAACACACGGATTATCGGGAGGGAGGAAATTCTCACTCACAGTTGGACTAATGGGGATGTGCGAAACTCCCACATCTACTGAATATTAGCACACGCACGTCGCGAGATGGCCAAAAGTGTTAAAAACAACTGGAAGCCGAACCACCAAAATCGTGACTTTAACAAAAAACCAAAAATTGAGGACCCATCTTGCAAACAGGTGTGCATAGATCGCACATCCCTAGATTTCAAGCAGACTGTACATTGACCAATGTTTATCTAGACTAAAACCAGTTCACGCGGTTCAAAGATGAAGTATCTCTAGGACAGAAGCCTCCAAACGGTTAGCACCATAAATCGACCAACCAATTTCGATACGGATCCATGGGCCTGATGAGACGTTTATTGTTCACAGCTAGGCGCACCTCAATTTCTTACGTGCACATGTGCACATAATCAAGTCTCTTCGAGGACATAGTCTCGTAAACCACCACTTATCGAGTATCGAAGAACGTGACTTTTCGTTTTTTTTTTGAAATGGTTAAACGTGAGTGGATAAAGTTAGCAGTTACAAACAAAAGAATTGATTTCACCTCTCAACTCAATGAAGTGAGATGATTTCAAACAGTCCGGCTTTGCAAAGGTTTGCCCGCGGAAGCACACCGTTTATCACAAACAAAATTCTATAACCGCAATATAGCATTGGGCGGAAACATCGGAACATCCAGTAGGTTTTCTTTCAAAATTTTCCTCGCTAAACGAATCGCTCGATTGCAAGTTCTAATTTCAAACTGTTATTTAGTTGCAGTGCCTCGATACGCAAGTTCAGATGGATTTTGAAATTCACTTTGATTTGGAAATCACTCACAGAATCAACTGATAGTTAACAGTCGTTTGAATAAATCAAACAGCTTAGTTGAAGGTTTTCTCAGAAACGGAAAACCAGCATGGTTTCTGATCTGTAGTTGCTATTTAAATAGGAGTGTACTCAAAATTTCTATTATACTGTATAATTAGTAAGTACGGACTTCTTCCGGTGGATCATGAGATATTCCATAAACGCTAAGTTAGCAAGCCACATAGGGTCTGACAAAAAAAGACTCCGGTTAGCCTGTTTCTGCGCAAAACTTCGACTTTCCAAAATGAGGACTAGCATACCAGAGCATTTAAACAAAAGCGATAAAACCAATCACAGGAGTCAGAGGTGATTTCATCGAGAAAAGCTTTTATCCAGCAGCAATGCTCGGGTGAATTGCAGCACAGAAACCATCGGTTTCACAATGGAGTATGCATCCAAAGTAACTGAAAACAGACGCCTGAGTGTGCATCACGAGATAGAACCACATATATTCCTGTCACTAAGAGACTGAACCCTATCGCAGTGTGACGGTTTGTGCACCTCTACAACCCATTGAGCCATACTGGAGAGTGCGCATGTAGCACGCAGAGCATCTCAAACTAAGTTAGTCAATGGGTAAAAGTTGGAACACGTGCGGTAACTTTCTCCCCATAAATGCCGTGGATCTGGCGGTTTTACGTTAAACACCGTTGCTTTGTGCTAAGGCCTTTGAGCCCAAGTTTTTGGTTGACGATCCTAGTCGTTCTCCTGTCTAGGCTTGGGTGTCCTGGTAGTATCCCAGCCCATATACAACCATGAACTGCACAACTGCGAGTGACTTCTTGACAACCTGACTATCGTGTGGTACCATCGATCTGGTTACAGGAAGGTGAGCTAATACAAGCCACTGTTGATGACTCCGTTGCTTTTCGCAAATTAGTACTTCACTTACGTAGCTCGCGATATCTTCGCAGGCACAGCCATAAGGACCAACTTGCGGTAGTGAAGCGCCAATCGTCAATGATGATGACGAGGTGAGGGTGAAGCTGATGCTGATGATGACGATGTTGATATTGCTGAAACTTTTAAAAACTCTGGAGCCGGTTGTGACAACCCGTGTAAGCCTTCCTATAGTAACAGTATCATGCGAGAGCTAGTTATGGATAAGGTAAGCCTTTAGAGCAACGACATCGTCACCATTGACCCAAAAGCGTGAAAGTGGATGAGGACAAGAGGTAAATATAGCTGAAGTACAAGCTGTTTTCTCTTCAGATAAGCTAAACGTTCGAGGATCATATGCCACCGAAAAGCTTCGTCTAAACCGTTCAGCTGTAGCACCCTTCCGGTGCCTAGCTGCCCTTCTACCCGAAGCAAGCACGAGGGCTGGGTTACCGCCAGATTGCCCAAGCCTAGACAAGCAGAGGTCGGGTGTGAACCATGGACATTCCGGTCGGTAAATTCGCGCTCTGACCACTTGAGCCATCTCGCTTCGCCTAACAAATTATAATCCGAGGGTTAAAATCACCATCTAACGAGTTAATGTAATCTGAGGGGCACCAGAAGGTATTTTTATCCTGGGGTTACAATATCTACTCCGTGTGCTGCTGAGTACAGCAGGAGCGCTGAGATTTTGACACGACATGCGAGCTGACCTAAAAACTCTATTACAAGATTCTACTATAGTTCGACTACACGGAAGAATCTGCCAGTACAGACGAACCAAAATCGGCTAATCGAGGTGTGCATTTTCAAGACCCGACGGTAAAAAGACGTACATTGAATAGGATACAATGGCTGTTGCTTTAAACATGAGAACAAAGTTCGCCTGTAAGAACATAATTTCACACATCTGTTCTAAAATGCTGTGTTGCGACACGATTCGTGTCAAGCGAATCGTTCCTGTTTGTCTGACTCCTATCGTTTACCTGTCGTCGTACGAGTGGATATCGAAAAGTGAAACTCGATTAACGCCAATCGGGGTTGAGACAGCTCAGTGGTTAAGGCGCGATCTTACTGACCGGAACGTTAGTGATTCGCACTCAACCTCAGCATCTCTATTGCTGTTATCGAGACTTGGGCAACCGTTTGATTCCTTCGGGTGGCATGGCAGTTAGTCACCGAAAGGGTGCACAGGCAGAACAATTATTAGTGACATTGTTAACTGCAGCGGATGGAACTGAAACAGCGCAGGTTTATAAAGTACCAACCAGCGATCGCGAAAAACGACGTGGCTTAATGAGCAGGGATTGTTTACGAGACCCATCCGTAATGACTTTTACAGTGTGCGGAGCTGTGGTGTCAGACATGAGCTTTATCAATGATCGGTGATCCAATTAGTATAGTACATCAGAAACTAGGAGTGCTGTGGTATCTGTTCAATCCGCTATCGACATTTATCGAACACCTTTTTGGTACCACAGCTACGACGAAACTACTAACTAGAAAGGGGCTGAGATATAGTTACGTCATTCAAGCCCATCAACAACGATCGAGAACGAAGAGATGAGGTCGAAAGGGATCCAGCAAGGTCCAGTGGGCAAGAAGCGAGTCAATGACTGGAGATGCAACCCAAAATGGGATGATTTTAAGGAAATAATCAGGTTCGAGAGGTAAAAACGTCTAAAAGGGATTGGGGAAATGACCAGTGCTAATACCAAGGTGTAGCCACTGTCATTAATCCGTTTTGAACATACTAAATTGCACCATGAGTTTTTTCATCAACTGGCTCATGAACTGTGGTAGTGCACAATACCATGCCTACCTTTGTTTCGGTTAGCATCTTTGTCCAACGGATTCGGTGTGCCAATGTACTTGCGTTCATACAAAAGCGTCGCGTGATCATCCATTAGGCGAAGAATATCCTGTGTGTGGAAATGAGCATTGTTTACAAGAGCATTCACCAGGTGAAATATAGTGTTTCGAGGACAGGAAGGCATGAAAAATGGTGATTTTTACACGAACGTCCCAAGGGGGTAAGATCAATAGCGAGTGGGAATTACGTGACGGTAGTAGTGAGATGCTAAAAGCTTGAACTGTATCAAATCAGTCTAGCGTTCCAAAATCATACGTTGTGCTGACTTCGGTTAGGAATTTGAAAAGCTGAATTATGTGGTGAATAATCCAGATGGTTCCTGGAAGCAAATACTGTGGTTAAGTCCGGTGTGGGGGCACCAAATCGCGGTTCTGGGTGGCCTTGTATGCCAAATCAAACGAAAGGCGCACCGAAACAGTTCTTATTATGCTAATAGCCTGTGTGACCCATGCCAAATGGCAGTGCCACTTCATTTATAACACGCTGATTTCACAAAAACAGTAATTAAAGCTGCAAACTACAGAATCTGTCAGAATTCATAGAGGACTGAAAACTCAACGGCGCGCTCTCCGTGAGGTTTCTGCAAGCTAATACTGTGCACAGATAAAACCAGCTTAATGGTCGGATAGACTGAGGATTGTAGAATACTATACTATGCATGCCAAAGGTAGAAGAGGTTTGTTGGCGATGAGGACACTTTGCAGAGAGGTGACAAATGATCTTTGGGAAAAACGTTGACAAAAGCGCTTCAGTTAGAAAAAAACCGAAGTATTGTTTATCGATTGGCCATTTCGGTACCCAAGGGTACTAGTGCCAAACTGCCATAAAACACCTCAGGAGAGAATCTTTTAATAAGGGGTTAAAAGTTACATCCTTACTGAAAGTGGTTAAGGACAAGGCACCTACACCAACAAACAGGGTTGAAATAAAGCCCATTGTGCATCCTGTTGAAGTGAGGTAGCAGCAACGGGACTGACCCAAAATCCTCACTAACTTTCCCAAAGCAAACCCAAGCACAACTAGAAAAACCTTGACTATACAGTCCAGATGATGGGTTGGGTGGTCTCCACTTGAACAGCGTATCTTCAATGATTTCTAGTCACATACAGGGAGAATCACGAGGACCTAACAGAAAGTTGAAAAGACCCAACGCACGCACAGTTTGACACTGTAGTTAACTTCATTCCGAATTCCCCAGTCAAAACATGCTCCTCGCTGTAGTCAGTGAATACGGATGTGTAGTGCATGTTTCAGTCGTGTTTACCAAGTAGGCTTTGTTTGCTGCTCAAGAGTGGTCGATGAATTGCTCAGTACTCATATTCTGGAGCACTTAATGTTTGGGTCTCGCTAGTATTACTAGGAATAGCGGGCTTTGAGACCCTGGTGTATCACAGTCTCCCGTTCAGAACGTACCCCCAAAACACACCTACAGGTTTGCCGCCTCTTTTGTCCTTCTACGTGTGATCTAGTGTCCACCCCGCTGTGTTCCTCGGACTACTCGAGAAAAAACGCTACCTCGTTGTAGTGCAGCAGATTATCAAGGGATTCACTTGTTAACATTGTGGTTAGCAAGCACGGTGGTGCTTGTTTTAACGTCTCTTTGTCGGATGCCCAACACGAAAAATCTAACGCTCGGCCAAAACGTAAACTCAACTTTGTTCATAGTGCAGCCTCTGATTCTCCTCCAAATGGCTAGATAAACTATGGATATATATCATTAGTTTCTTCACGAGGTTCATTTTTTTCATCTTTCCACGCAACTTTTCAAATCAGCCGTAAGTCTGTACTCCAGAAATTTTCATTCCGCTGCACAATCTTTGGTTCACTTGACTGTTGTCTAAGTTGCAGATAAATAGAAAATATGAGTTTCTGGCGTCAAAATCGGGACCCGCAATAGCATCTAAGCTAAATAACACACCCTTGATAACCGAGAGAATCGGTTTCAGTAAAGCTACTTCAAAAATGGACACATACTGTACCATCATCGGTTTGGAATTTGCCTGTGACACTCTAGGCCACACTATTGGACTTCCGCACAGGACAAATCTCAACACAAGTGGGCTGCGCTCAGCTGTATGCGAAACCATCTGGAGCACCTATAAACTACAGTAAGGAGTGCAGAGAGTGAACGCAAGGAGAGTCCCAAAAACAGCCTGACTTACGATGCACCAGTGTTAGATTAAATAGTGGACAGCCCATATTATCGTTCCAGTAGCCGATGTGGTTCGCCGTTCCAAGTCTACCCACTATGTTGATGATTAAACCTCAGTCAGATATACGAATAGGTCATAAATAGAACCGCAGATTGATGAAAAAGCTTTCTGCGCGATGATATATTGCTTCTGTCAGTACTTCTCCCGATATTAGATTCTGACATTTCCTTCAGCTTGACACTGGTGCAACGAAAAAATCCACTGCAGCTCCGCGTAAATATAGCTGCCATCAGACATAAGGATCAGGGGGATACAACATAGAATGAAAACAGGACTGATGAGGCTTTTAAGTCTTTTAGAAGTTTGTGTAAACGGAAGACTCAATCTTAGGCGATACTCTCTAACAGCCTCATGGTTCAGGTGGAACGAGATAGTCAGCTGAGTTCAATTCATTCACATCAGCTTAAGTTGCAAACGAGTGTATAATCTCACTCACAAACTAGCGTTCAATTATGAAATAAGAATGATGAAAATTCGGGAACTAAGCCTGCCTGGTGAGCCAAAAGAAGGCAAAACCGGCGCGTTGTCAAAGTGTTTTCGCCGTCATTCGGGATGGCATCACGTCAGGAGAAGACTAGTTCTATCAAAGATTTGTGGGCGACCTGATTACCCGTAGGTAGTTAGATAATTGATTTGATTGAATTTGATTGATTGAATTTTCACGATCCTCAAGGAGGATCTGATGGGCTTGTGATTTTGCAAGTGACAGTCAAAAAGCAGATGTGGCTGGTGTGGCCCAGGATAAACTGCATCTGGTCTCTAGCAGTGTGAGATTCTTCCATGCAGTAACATCTGTGCATTCGAAACACGTGCCTAGATGGGAACCAAGCTCTCACTTTAAACATGAGGTAGAAAGAATGTTATCCAGTCACATGAATATGGAACAAATGGAGAAATTGGATCACATCATCGAAGGACTTCACAGAAATGACATGAACGAAGAAGCTCACTTTGACAATGTTTTCACGAATGAAGTATCGATCACAGAATTTTCGTCGATCGTAGCCAGATTGAAGCTGACGGTAATTCTAGGGAATGCGATGATAAAATGAAGGTTATAAATAAACCAGCAGCAAACAACACCACTTGGAAAATAAACGTGAAGTCATGATACGCTCTGAGCCGGGTTCACATTGAGTTATCTCCGTATTACTCACGGTGTCCTGCTGTGAACCCCAAAATGTCCGAGTTGGCGCACGCAACTCGGGAAGTCAGACTTGCCACAATGTTGAATTCCTATTGAGACGGTTTACGAATCCAAGGTTATAAATAAACCAGCAGCAAACAACACCACTTGGAAAATAAACGTGAAGTCATGATACGCTCTGAGCCGGGTTCACATTGAGTTATCTCCGTATTACTCACGGTGTCCTGCTGTGAACCCCAAAATGTCCGAGTTGGCGCACGCAACTCGGGAAGTCAGACTTCCCACAATCTTGAATTCCGATTGAGACAGTTAACCAATCCATGAAAAATACCGGATGTGTCAAAATGACAACGACAGTGTTGTCTAGCCAGGATGATTGGGCCAGAATAGTGGGAGAAGGACTAGGCACAGGAGCGTGATGTGATTCTGCAAGCCCCACAACTATCAAAAGTCACAGCGAAACCTCATCGTCCTATTGTACAACCAGCATTTCACGCAGACAAACGAAGCGAGTAAATCCAAGATCTCACATACCTACCTTTTCGTTTGCATCATTCATACTTAGACACCTATTCAACGAAATTGTACAAAAACTCGGGGAGCACGAATAAGCGCACACGGCTCTGTTGGCAGTCAGGCATCTGGCGGAGTGGGTCACCAATAGGGTGACATCTATGCACCATATTAAAAATTTGGTCCCTATGTTGAAATCGAAAACTCTACGGTCACAGGGTTGCCAAATAACGCAAGTAAATTATCCATTGTGAGATTTAAAAAGAACTCAGAACCCAAAGCTATGGCGCACCCAGCGCTACACTTGAAATTTTGTGCAAGAACGTGCATAAAGCGGCAAAATTCCAACGAATGAAAGATTCAATTTCTCATTGTACCAGAACAGAATCACATGAAGAATCAAGTGCAACGACGATTTCGGAACCACAGAAAAGGACCGTGGAACTATACCTCGATGATTGTCTTGTAAACCCAATGGTCACTGAGTGAATTCTGGGATAGCTCCACACGGCTACGAGTAGCAGCGACTTGTTGCTCCAGTGGGATTTCGAATGGATCTCTATAATTTAGACAAGCAGCAACCGCAAGTGCCGGTTCTAAACATCCGAACAGCGCACCCAGAATAAGCAGTTTTGCCGACTGGGGGTCCATGGGAAGCCTGGCGAGGTGCTCACCCAAAGGAGTGAGTTTTGAGTTGTCACCGGGTAGTTCTCCGTAAGAGATATCGGCCGATGGAGTTTCATCTTCCGCTTCTTCTTCTTCCAGCATATCTTTGCCGCTCTCATTGTATTGCTTCATAGCAGCCTGGGCACGAGCCCTCAGGTCTCGACGCCACCGTTTCTTTCCTTTGGTAAAGTGTTTTGACACAGATGATTCGAGCTGAACGGCCGAATCCTCAGTCATGTCGATCGCTTGGATTTCACGAAGAAAATGAAGCGTACGTTCCACAGCCTTCGGGTCAGGAGGATTGGGACAGGATGCTAGGAATGTGCTTACAGGGCCAAGATCCAAGAGCTAGAAAACAAACATGACAGAGTCACAGATGTAGAATGGCGGCGGATAAATCCAAGTTGTGACATTGACAAGGCTACGGAGGTCACTATTATCGCACTTTCATGACTCATATAAGGATTATCCAAGCAATAAACCAGATCATCCTAACAAATACCGTACATACATCATTATCACCATCGACAGCGTGACATCAGTGTGAAGCATCAGTGACACTGATGCTTCGCTACCGTACAACCATAATTTCTTTGAAGTATGTAGTCACGAATTGACTGTGAAACCAAATATGACCAACATGCACGATGGAAGTAAGAAGAGCAGAAATCAGCGTCCAAAGGAGATGAGAAAACAAAGTCACTAAGTGGTTTGTGTTGGGAATTAGACAATAGTTGATTATTCTACTAGTTACCTCCACTCGTTATTTGATCTGACGGTACGGACGCGCCTCCCTCTTCAAAAATCTCTTACCAGTTTTATACGATTCAGTTCTGAACAATTGTTGAACCGGTTTGTCGTAGAGTTTACTAGCACCGCCTTCGGCAAATTCAAAATGGTAGACGCCACCAAGAAAGTTAATGTGAACATGAATAACAAGATCGCGTTATGCATATCATCCTTGTTTACAAACGACCTGCTTACAGAAACCATTTGTTGTCTCTGAATACATAAAACAAAAATATAGAGGCTTGGACATTGCTGGTAGTGATCTAGGGAAATTATTACCGTGGTTCGTAGCTGATGTGTAATTTCATGGCGTCACACTGGGTTCGCCACCAGGCTCACCCTCGGTATTTTACATGGTCGTCCTGAGGAGCATCAGCTAAACTCAAGCACAGAAGAGATGCATTTCCACCGGCGATATGTAGACGATATAGTCGACAATATGGACAAATCCTCACAGCTAGCATGGATTATAACGTATTCTAATCAAGCGTATCAGGCGATTCAGTTCATTTCTAAGGTGTAAGAAAAGCGGCTCTTCTCGTTTCGCGGACGTTCGGTTTACTCGATGACAGCATAACAAACTTTAATAGCTTTCTCCCACTAAAACACGGGATTTAAATGGATATATCACCCACATGTGGAAAAAATTTTCTCTGAAAGGAAACCTAGAGCCAGCCAGCATACATCCCGAAAGTGATTAACCGAACAAGCTCATTTCAAACATGGCTACTCCAGCTAAGAGCAAACTGATCACAATCACAATCAGCCTTCCTTCCAAAGGGGAACTGGCGGCAGAATGACCCTGCGTCTAACAGTTCGAAAAGCACATGGCTACTCCAGCTAAGAGCAAACTGACCACAATCACAATCAGCCTTCCCTCCAAAGGGGAACTGGCGGCAGAATGAGCCTGCGTCTACATCACACAGTTCGAAAAGAATTTTCAGTCGATTCACTCAGTGTGGCTCGCAACAACTCAGTTGATGCCCCTATACCCCAAAGATAAGCTGTCGCTCCACGCGCAAAGCATAGGAGTCTACTCCTTTACCTGCTGGTGCACAGCAGAATACATGGGGTACGCGACACGCTGCCCTGGCCTTTTCAATTCGGAAAGTGATTTCGCCTTTCGCCAGTCCACCGGGACTTATGCAGCTGCCCAAACTGACGAACCTATCCACAATATCGATGAGTTCACCTGCATGCAGGAGGTTTGGGGTTGATTCCAGCCAGCTTTGCACAGCACTTTATGCCATGCAGGTGTGAAGCATGGCAGAATACTTTAGGTCATTGACAATAGTTTGCATTTCCGAAGGGTTTGATCCAAAGAGAGCAACGCGAACGCAATGTCAATGACTGAACGTCCTTGAGTGCTTCCATTCCCGAGATGTTAAAGGCAGGTACGGTAGACTCAAGCGTTACATCGATTTCGAAGTTGAAGAGAGCGACAGAGGGCACTCCTGTCTGACACCACTGGATGTGATGAACTCAAAGGAGAATTTGCCGAAGATATGCACGCGTCCAAGGGAGGAGACCTATAAAGCCTTTGTAAGAGACAAGAATTTAGGACGGACGACATTCATCGCCAGACACTGCCACAGTTTCTGACAACTGATGGGACCAAAAGCATATCTGAAGTCGAGGATGACGATCACTGTTGGTCGTCGGAAGGCATGGCGTCGTTCCAGTACTCATCGCAAACTGAAGGTATGATCGATGCCATCTTGACCAGGGAGAAGTCCGGTTTGGTACTCCTGATCCCCGATGATGGATCAACCTTCGTGGGACGATACCCGAGAAAGACTTGGAAGCTGCGGCACTAAACGAATGTCCCAAAGGTTCTCGCGGTTTTGCATCCTTTTAGAAAGTGGGATTCACCTCAGACACGTTCCATTCTGTCGGTACTCTTTCCTCACCACTGATGGTTTGGCGTAAGGTTGTCAGAATGCAAATCATTGAGACCAGGTCTTGTTCTGTTGAGCTGAAACAACTAAATTATACAATGCACTTCTTTTCCGACAACGAACTGGTATCAATGTTCCACTCGGGTTCATTCGGTCTTTTCAGAGAGTGAGTTGACGGGAGTAAGCTGAACGGTTTTGCAGTGTTCAAGAGGACATTTTTGTGAGTGGATTGAAATCCAGTCTTTTTTCGAGCTTACTTCACAAACAACCACCTTACTTAGTAGAACGGATTAGCTGGAATAGGGTGTGATTGTTTATCGCTACAAAAGTTTCCCTCATTTTCCCGGGATATGCGACTCACCAAAGCTCCCTATCTATCCTTAGGCTCTTCATTACTGGGCGTTCGACGGATCCGCGTCACAGTTGTTCGCTGCTGGCACAGTTTTCCACGCTTCAGTCACAGTTGCTGACCGTGACGACATCCAATGTTGATCAGGGTGTGCGAGTGATCTCGAGAAGAAGGTTTCAAGAGCTGTGTTCGTGGCTCCTTTCACCAACCTCAAATCATCAGCCAAACCCCCATTGCGCCCGCGAGCTCCGGGAACCTCTCAACTAACTCAACTCAACATTAATGAGCTACAGAGATGCCTTACAGGTATTGGAATGAATACATATGCATCAATGCAAGGTGGGAAAGAGAATAGAGACGTGTGCTCGAACAATGCCGTGGCTGGAGTCAAGTGGTATAACCCTTATTTTACTTGTACAAATCGCTCGCTTTATCTCGTAATCCAGAGATCTGTATTGACCAGAAGAGATCCCACAAACCATAACTCATATTCTGTATCTGACAATCACTCTCGCACGGAAAAGGTGTTTACTAGACATTCTCAGCGTCTAGTTAGTGTGAAGGTGGGACGGAGAGTGTCCGCAGTGAAGAAGAATGCGCACAGATCCGATCGATCAGTCACGTGGATTGGACCACTCCACGTGCAGTCATTAGTTGCCGAGTGAACTTGTTTCCTGATGCAACAAAAAATTTATTGCTAAAAAGTGATTACCGAAAGAGTTCCTGCGCAACTCTTCGCGGGATAATAGTAAACTACAGAAATTATTTGAAGACTCAGGTGAACAAATTTCTGAAGCACTGCTCTGGTTAGGCGTAGTACTAGCCGACACGAAACGCCCGCTCTTCAAGTCTTTTCTTGTCACCTACCATAATAGGTGTGCCAATCTACACATAAACTCAGGCTTGCTGCGACCGTTCACAGATGTGAACATATGCCAGGCACTAGTCAGGAAATGGTACACAAAGCGTTCAGTTAGATAACTTGGCCCACTTTGGCCATTCTATTTGTTGAATTGTTCATGAACAAAACAGACTGCACAATGGCCGATCAATGAGATGGAACGGCCCTCTAAAACGTCTGTCAATACTACCCGATTAAGATAAGATACTGCATTCCAAGTTGGCATAAAAACTGCATCAATTGTGTCAATCACGGATGGACGCATTTGCCATTCAGATTGTCAAGGACCAGTGTTACCGTCACGTGTTACGGTATGTGCTCGACGATCAAGTTCACACTAGTTGTATTTTAGTGCACAGTTATCAGAATGTCTCTCCCTTCCTCTCTGAAGAGGAAACCCCCGTCAAATAAACAAGGAGGAGGTACGGAACTTTAGAACTCGTTGAATGCGAGTTCCATTCCTTCGGGTTGGCATAATCTGTGTGATTGGCAGGTTCGAGCTGACCACACGGAATAGGGTCATTCGTGTTGTGTCAGTGTTTTTGCATCTGACAGTTATTGCTCAACGGGAGGGAATACACTTTTATGAATCAACGAGTTAGTGGGAGACAGGTCTCTCTGATGCACCCCGTAAGAAGAACATGGAAGAAACTCGGGAATATGAATAGGGCGAATTACCTTAATCCTGAGAATGACGTCTTCCAGTCGCATTCGGAGCATTTCCGGGAGTTGATACTCCGCCATAATGTTATCTTGGACGTATCTGGAGAATAGGTGGTAGCAATATCCCATCTGCACACTAGTAGGCAAGAACGTGGAGGACAAAGTACAGAAGTGAACACATGTCAGTCATCATTATGAGAATCAGTTCAACAGCTTGGCATGGAAACTGATTGGCGAGATTTGATCAATCAAAACAGAAGAGGAATGAAGGACTAACGCGAACGTTCAACACATTTTAGAACTGTACCAACTATTAGATCGGAGGCGAACCATTGCTATCGAAAATGCTGATATAGCAGCGGTCAGCTGACGGTCGTAACCATCAGCTGAGCTCGAAAGAGTGAAAAGATTAGGAAAACAACCCTTGAAAAGCCCGATAGTTTTGATTTTCCTAGACTGTTTGGAAAGCTGCGAATACGCCTGAGAAACTTGGTGCTATCAAAACCTTTGTGATTACATCTAATCCACACCGTCCCCTGTGGTGATTCCCTCCTCAATATGACCGTATGGCTATACACGATGCTAGTAAGCGTCAGGTTTTTGCTACCCTACGCCGTAATGCGACCGAATTTGTACTAAACAGCAAATATTCCACTCATAGAGCTGAACTTGAATAGTCGCCAGTATGATGCATTGGATTCAAAGACTCGAGTTGAAGCTTAATGTATGATCGTACAAATCGTCAAAAAGTATGTGTTCCAGTAGCAAGATAAGCCAGTGAGAAGCCGGAAATCTTTTACCAACTACAGATACATCCGACCAAGGAGAATGAACTGTCCGTCAATATATTCTGATTGAACTATTCGTAACTTAATTCTCATTCGTATGAGTGATAGTTGTTTAGCGTCATGTGGATGTTTTCTCGTTGTCATGTCATAGTTGAATTGATAATTTAGTCTCACTGGACTAGTTACTATTAAAAGGTATTCCTGGGATTTTTGCGAATCAGCGTAGTTTGGATTTCTGGGCTCCATACACTTTAGTTTACGTCACTCCTTTCAAGACAGTTTAAGCGGAAATGTCCCAAGTGGTGTCTAACCATTATTCATTAAGTTGCATGTTTCGAGACGACTCAGTGGTTAGAGCGCGAATTTACTGACCGGAATGCCCATGGTTCGAATCCGACATCTGCCTCTCGACTTCCCCTGTCTAGGCTTGGGCAACCTGTCAGTATCCCAGCCCTCATGCTTCCTTCGGGTGGCATGGCAGTTAGACGCCGAAAAGGTGCTACAGATGAACGAACGATGCTTTGAAACATGTTGATTTCGTATTAAGATGTATTAAGGTCACAAATAAGAGACGCTAGGATTCTCATCCAAGAATGTTTGGATCCTTATAGGGTCGTCAGATCAGAAAAGGTACACCTGGTGCGTAGGAGGTTCTCTAATCCTCGAATTTATTACTTCCGGGGTCATCTGGCCGATGGAAAATCCCAAAACTAGACAGAATCAGAAAGCGACGATTAACAAAAAGGTATGCAAGGACAATGGTCTGAGAAGAACTATCCTTCGTGACCGTAACCATAATCAACAGTGAAGGGAAAGTCGTGAAACCGGTTGTTCAGGTTTGTAAGTGTTACTATATGGGGTCTGCGCGATGTGGTAAGAAAAAAAGTGTAGCACTGACCGTGGTTCGAATCCGACCTCTGTCTCTTGACTTCCCCTGTCTAGGCTTGGGCAACCTAGCAGTATCCCAGCTCTCATGCTTCCTTCGGGTAGCATAGCAGCTAGGCACCGGAAGGGTGTTACAGCTGAACGATTTATTTATTTTTTTTAATGCATAATCCAGTGGTTAATGATAGAATGGTTTTAACTGCCGGTGTACCTGAGCTGCGACACAAACGGCAGGTGCCGCGATCTTCCAGCGCTTAGTAAGCATGCTTTGTAAAAGTCGAACCACATGGCTCCCTACATCTAAGTTTGAAATGCGAAAACCTTGTTTAGAATCCGTGAAAAGGACTCACATTTCTTTTCAAGTGAAGTTTAATGGCGTCAACACAGCTTTGGTGATCAAAAACTTGCAGTATTACATCACAGTGTAACGTTGTTTTCATGCTCAAAATACCTGCCGACATACTACATTCCCCTTTCTTGACCTTATAAATGATTCGCTCTTTTGTTCAGATATGTGGAGGTTATCTACGCCATAGAAACTGAGCCAAGTAAGTAACATCGATCATTAGCTTGCCAACTTTATGCTGGTGAACTAGCTGCCTATATAGACGGCGGAGATCAATCAAGCCGCAACAACTTTGCAAATCAATAATACTCGAAAAAGTGAGCGTCTAGGGAAGTAACTGCCACACGTGTAACTGTGATGCAAATGGTAAGAACTAAAACTGGAGGCGCGCTTATGCCGAAATTGTGTCAACCGTGAAACCGAAAGGTGAATATGAAGGGAACACGTAGTGAACCAAACTTAAACGGAAAGGTTAACAGACGAGGTTAACAGACATCGGACTAAGCAGGAGAGAATCATCTGGGTCCTTATAAGGATGTCGCTCTTCCACGAGTCGTTACTTCGAAAAATTCTGAAATAGACTGAGTAGATGACATCGACAGTGATTGAAGGACCAGAGCGATTGGCACTGAACTGAATAAACAAACAGGAACCAAGCAACAAGGATCTAGTTCTAATTATTTGGCTTCCTGTTTGAAAAATGGACGCGCTGTCGGATTTAGCCTCATCAAACTTGCAATCTGCTGAACCGGAAACAAGTACAGCTTCATTTGTCCTGTTTCCGTGAATTGACGTTAAGTGACATCCAAATCTAATTATCTACTTGATGGACTGGCTTCCACTTTCGGACTATCTTGTCATATTGATCGAGCCCAGTGAACCCAGTGAGCAATGGGTAATGTTACATGCGGTAGACCACATGTGCAGTTATTTGGACTCCTTGTGTAAACCCGAGAAAACAAGGCGGGAGGGTGAACAAAAGGGGGTAATTTATGAAGCTGATAGCACGCCGAACGGGTGTATCACATTTCCCATAATCGCTAGGGACAACAGAACCATTGAAGCCTGCAGTGTGTGCGAAAATTGGTCTGTGGACGCACCAAATATATGGCTAACCAGTGCTAGCCATAATTCGACTTGGTCTGTACAACGATGGCCACAGAGTCACTTACGACACCGTAGTCCCCTGAACACCTGAGAATATCCAGTTAGAGTGGATCATCCGCAGCTTATACACGAAATAGAAATACGATTGGAGTCGAACAAGTAGCACTCGAAACGATAGTGCCAGGAGATACAATGTACGGGAAATCGGTTGAAGATGATACTAAAAAGAAACTGACGATGTGGCATTAAGCGGCAAGCCACAAAGGTCACCTACATACCTACATAGAGGAACAGTAATGAGCATAGTGAGATATGGCTGGTCATTTAAATGCTGCCTCGGCCCAACTTTATGACCATTAGTTTGATGCAGGAAGTTCTACTACCAAGCGAAATGAACTCGTGAGTGAGGGCTGTAAGCATTGAGAAGCCAATGTCTATGCTGCTATCATTCGGCCATGGCTCGTAGTTCACACAATGCGATGAATAAGAATTCTCCCCACATTTGAAAACATTTTGAGCTCGAGATAGCTCAGAGTTTACGGTTAGAAGTTACTGACGAAAAGGTCCGTGGTTCGGAGCCGCCGTTCGACCCTTTCTTCTAGGGTTGCAATGCGATGAATAAGAATTCTCCCCACATTTGAAAACATTTTGAGCTCGAGATAGCTCAGAGTTTACGGTTAGAAGTTACTGACGAAAAGGTCCGTGGTTCGGAGCCGCCGTTCGACCCTTTCTGTCTAGGGTTGGGCAACGTAGCAGTATCCCGACCCTCGTGCCGTACCAGATATACTAGGTATTATAGGGACGGCATGCCACTTCTCAAAAGCAGCGGAGCGGAAACCTCGGAAGCTTGCAACGCTGGGACACAAAAACTTGACCACGTCCACAACACACTTACCCTGTACAGCGAGCCTCAGTCAATCGCATTTGATGTACGAACTAACTCCTTCCTTGACATACCGTCTCAACCCGCAGGTCATCTTTTGGTCTGATTTTGTGTCATTTACGTTGAAGCAGCCGGTGGTTTCCGAAAGCTGCTAGCCCGCAAATATTCATCAACCAATGGCGTTCCTATTTATTGTTCCAGTGGCCAAATAGGATACACCAACTGCATACACCCGACCCAGTGAGTGAGTTACTTAAAGTAAGGACAGTGAAAATCAACAGCAGATGGATACTCTATACGACCAATTCATAGTTAGGTCCAAACACACCCCGCCCGATGCCTGTTGTTTTTTTACAATAAATACATATACATCAGCATGCAGAATAATGGGCATTTTGTCAACAACACTATCTATACCTACCGACCAGCTCTTCCACGTCGCTGAGCAGCATTTGCTCGGCTGACGAGAACTGGAGACAAGGAATTGGTGTTGGAGAGTGGATCGTAGTTGGTAATCTTTATTCGACCACTGTCAATCACATAAACCACGTCTTCAATGGTCACACTGAAACAGAGGCAGGAACATAGGGAGTTAGATACCTAATATATTAGTCCGAAGACTCAAAATCGCATGAGAGGCAACAAATGTCCAATGGCAAGGATAAACTCGTAGAAAGACAAGGTAAAATAATGTGGTTCCTCTAGAAAGCGTTCACTCGGAAATAGGATTCAAAGAATATTCGACTGTACTGCTCTGATTCCAATTTTTATTGCGAGTATCATGAAAGCCACGTTTGTATAAGGAAGTCTAATTCTCGCCCATGTTTCGATGGGATTGGTGTACACGATTTGATGATTCGTCATCGATAAGAAGTATCCACTTCACGGGGGCATCTGTCTTTCGAGGTGCGCCCGTGGATAACGAAAAACCAGGAACGTACGTCCTGTTCTGGAGTTACTGAACTACGGGGAACATTTTTCGGTGTGAAACGTACATTCATGGGCGAGACAGCCTAAGTGGTTGGAGCGTAAACTACCGACCGGAAGGTCCGTGGTTCAAACCCGACATCTGCCTCTCGACTTCTCCTGTTAAGGCTTGGGCAACCTAGCAGTATCTCAGCCCTCGGGTGGCAACCTTCGGGTGGCATGACAGTTAGGCACCGAACGGGTGCTACAGCTGAACAAGGAACGTACATTCATGGCTCTCAGTGTTGATGACTGACAGGCAAAATAGATTGCATCTAAGTCGAACTACCCGGAATTAATACTCCGTCAGTCGACGTTGGCGGACGAACAGAAGAATAAGCATTCACCTGTTCCATTACCTATTTGATTTACTGGACTCGCCATAAGTGTTGGTGCAGACAGCCTGAAGTATAGAGCGACGTGAAGAAAGCAACACAATTGAAGAAGTTGGCAAGCAGATGACCAATGTTCAAGCCAGAAGACTGTGTGGCGACACCAACCAATGCACGTGTGTGACAGCTTTCTATGACAAGAAAGCAAGTTGATGCTCCAACATTCCACCCTAGAGGAGAGGTGCAACTGATGCCGTCTGTCGTTTAGCGAAATTAAAATAAACACAAGCACATACAAGCACATGGCATCGGTTCAAAATCCTACGTGTAGCTATACTAGCTGAAAAAATGCAGCGTGTCAATGCAGGGTCATAGGCTGAAACGCTGCAGTGAAAAAAATGGATGTGCTCTTGATGGTCGCAGTTAAGCCTTGTAAAGCCTTATGCATCATTAGGCGCATTTCCAACATAAGGGTTTACAACGCCGTTGAAATAATTTTAGATAGTTCAGAACAAAACATGTTTAAACTATCCACCAACATACCTCTCCAAAAATCAACCGAGATGCGGGGTTGTCACGCAATGAAGTGGTGGATGTACACAGGAAAAAAGTTAAGTAATTGGTCAGAGAATTACGGTAGTTGAAAGTTCAGTAGATAGTAATTTGTTGCAGCTGAGGCAATTACACGAGAGAGATTACAAAAAGCAGCGGAGAAACATCCATGAATAAACCTGCTTACAGTGAAATCAGTGAAATTCTTTGAAATTTTATTACATCTAGAGAGGTGGTTGTTTAGCTATTTGGTGATAAGAAAGTAGTCGTTCTTAGGGAATCCAGGCAAGATGGAAATGATGAATGGAACAGGGCAAGATTTGATCAACAACAACAAACCCACAGATAAGATTGATGGAAACAGAAAGCGCTCCGAGTCTCAGCATAAAAAGCTGGATATCGCACCGCGCCAACGACAGATTGGATGTTGGAAGACTAACTAAAGTTACTCGATAGGGCCACGCCTAGACATTTCACACCAGGGGTTTTGAGGAGGGAAAACAAGTAGACAGTTGTGGTTAAGAGCAAGTGGAAAAGTCATACGAATAGGAGCGGACGTGCTCTAGACTCGTGAGCGCCCCAGCTAATCACTATGAAATACCCGTGCTTGTCATGGATAAGCGAATCGTAAAAGACAGGGTCTTAAGTAGGAGAGGAAAAAGGGGAAAACATCCTCTACGATGCCGTCATTATTCGGCAATGAAAGAGGCAGTAGGCGACCGGTGCTTGTGAACTGCCTACAGTTAGCAAGGTAGTCTCCAAAGAGTATGACCGGGTTCTATGCATCACTTGTAACAGTAAAAGGCGGTAGTAAACGTCAACGCTACAAAGGCATCTCTGTAGTGGATGAACGACAGGAGTTCAGTTAAAGATTACTTTGAGAATGAATTACCGGTTCATCCCTCCCGCGAACCGGTTAGCTGGTCAGTTGATCAGATGAATTTAAGTAAGGAACGACTGTTTCTCGTTACCAAAGAGCTCCTCCATCTCCCGCGCTTGTGCAACCCACCAGCTCCGCTATTCCTGAGGCTATTGATGTGTAAGAGACATGCGTGCACCATCAGAGTCGCTAATTGATGGTAAGCTTTTTAACGCGAGAAACTAATCTTGAGAACTGGCAGTTAGGTAGTTGAGGCAGATGGTATTAAAATTACTTATAGGGGATGCATGAAGCCCAAATATTCAGTTCAGTCTTGAAAATTGTAATATGGTGAGCGACGCAGCAAGGGATGTGTGCTGCCAACCGATGGAGCCAATAGACATTCTGGATAGTTCACTCAGCTCAGAAGGGAAAATTGAGCAGACATTTGGTAACACTCCCACCAAAACTCAAAGATCATTTTGGGGAACAGTGCTTGGAGTAAAGACTTGAAGGACAACCTGGAAACAATCGAAGCGTTGCTGAGGACCGACTAAGCTCCTTGTTCGAACAAACGTACTCCAACAATCCTATTCTAGGAGGGAGAGAGAAGAAGACGGTCAAGGGGAGTGAAGGCCGCTGTGGCTGTCAGTTTTCAGCAACTTTATAATTAGTGTACTGCGTCAAGAAAATACACCACGATTTCTTAAGTATCACAGCAAATGAAAAATGAGGCGGTCTTTGTAGAACACATTCAGCTATAGAGGTGGATCAACTGGGATTCAGTTACCTCTCGGTTCACCATCACATTAATTTCCGAACGGGTGTATTTCGCCAATCGCGTACAATCTGGTGTTCGAGTACGAATATATGGTTGCTGGAAACTTAGGGGCTGTACCCACCAGATGAGTCCCAAGAGGGGTAAAACCGATCTGCCATTGTAGGGTGCATCGTCTATGCACTGGACGAGTGAGAAACAGAAGTGGGAAACTCGAGTAAAACTCACCTGGTTTCAGCAATGTTCGTGGAGACGATCACTTTTCGTTTCCCTCCAGGTGGAACTTCAAAAAGTCCGCGTTGTTTGGATAGAGTCATTTGCGAATGTAGAGCATAGATACACACTCGGTTGCTTCGCTCGTCATACAGTCGAGGATTCATATCACGCAGCTTCATGATGGTCTCCCGAATCGCCTGAGAGAAGTAACCAAGAGATATGATGGTAAGTATCAAGACAAAGGTGATGAGCATTTCGTTCTAGCGTGGTTGTTGAGAAGTATTCTTCAGAGCTTCTAGAGCTCCTTACAATAATACGAATTATACGCTTAACAATAAAACTATCTTCTAAACCAAATGGGTCATGCTCAAAGCTGCTGTCATAACTAGATGAGCTAGACATCATGTCACGTGAGGCGAATGTGGTGCGGTGCGGTGCGCACGAGAGCGAGTAGCGCGGTTTATTGTCCGGATTCCAGTTAATCACACAGCTAGTCGGATATTCGTTGCTGTCCCGTTGTCTTTGGCTGCTATCCAAAAAATGTTTGGTTCCAATTTCCATTAGGATACAAGAGATGAGTAATGCTATTGAGTAAACCTTTAAGCTTAGTAGCGTAGTACGAAAATACATTCCCGGCAATGTTCGTAAAGTTGAATAGCTGACCTGGAATGTGTTCAAGTGTGCGGTAATGACTATGTAGTTCCTTTAACAAAAATGTCAACAATCGAGGCCTGATGCAACATTTGGAAGGTCAGCTGTGTGAAAATATCAGTAGAAGCCGGAAATAACTTGCATGACTAGAAAACTGTAGCGTCACAAAAGTTCGACAATGCATGTAAAACAAAGGTATCTTGTGGGTGGTGAACGCATTCCACCGGAGACTACCCAGTGGCAATAATTTTAGCTGCTTGGCGTTTGCTCGTTGTGTCCCACTTTGTACTTTTACATGTAGCCTCAGGTAGGAAAACAGTATCATCTTCGTTGACAGAAGTCAAATTGTGCAATACCAAACACAACATGAAATAAGTTTTCTATGGAGGAAAATGTCGGTAGCTCAGATAGTGTAGATGGTCGTTGGCTTGTTCGCCGAGCTGGGCAATTTGGTTGCAAACGTTTCATCACCAATCGAGGTGACATCATCAGTGCGTAGTTGTGCGTAGCGGTGGGTTAGTGGTTGTCTAAATTTGTCCGTTTTCCGTATGGAGTGTCTTCAGCAATTTGATGGCTATGCAGTTCTCTTTTTTTTACTGTAAACTGTACTTCAGCATTGAATACCTTTGAGATCGAAACTACTCAGGGACATCGCATTATTGAATGCTATCTGTAAGGCTGTATCACTAGAGTAGTATTAAAATGTTCAAATACGGTTACTTTAAACCGCAACATACCGACATTTGAGGAAAGTGTATGGCGTTGGATAAAGCCTAGACTCTCCAAATAATATAAAACAATTACCCTCAGTCTCCTAATTGGTAGCCATCCACAGAAACATTCGAGGATGAGACTAAAGAAGGAAATGCCACTAAGGAACAGTTGCATGGGAGAGAGAGCTAGTATAAATTTGGAGCCGAGCAGACAACATCTATGCTGTTACTATCAAGGTGGCGCTGAGCCAACTCGAGCTCAATGTACGCTAATATTGCGGCAAAATGACAATTAGTGGGAACTGGAGAGATAATCAGTGGTTATGGTTCGTAATTTCACACTATACAGTTTCCGTAGCTATTACATACACACACCTGTACCACCTGTCTCGATATGCTCATATTTTGGAGTAAAATCGTCCAGCTGTGATACCCTTTCGGTGCCTAGCTGCCATGCCACCCGGAAGAAGTGCGAGGGCTGAGATGCTGTCAGGTTGCCCAACCCTAGGCAGGAGTAGTCAAGGTGCAGAGATTGGGTTCGAACCATTGACCTTCCAGTCAGTAAAATAGAGCTTTAAGCACCGGGCCACCTCGGCCTAAATCCTGTCACATGCCTAAAAGACAGTGACGTGACCGAGTCACATGTTTCCTGATGCACAAAAATGGAGTTTTAACATTTTGGTTCATCTGGGTAATATCTTTATCTTTACAGCGCTATAATATAGTATAATAACAAGGCGCCAACCCCTGGGGAAATGGCTTGGAAGATGTCAGTGTTTCCCTCATGAGACGGGATACAGAAAAGAACCGCAGCCCTTTGCAATTGTTTATTTCATGTGATTCTTGTGGTGCGATCCGAGTCCTTTCGCCAGTTATCTCTGATATTTTGCTGATCCATTGGTATTCGCTATATCGGGGTATGGCAATCGCCAGTGCCACGTGAAAGTTGCTCTACAAAACAGACCTCACCTAAAATAATCATGTCCATTGGCAGAGCACACACCAGTCGGTAGTCGGATTGATAACGATCAGTACAAAAAAAATAATCAGAAACGAAACTTCTACTAGTCAATCACTCCACTTCCATCAAAAACGCCTTAGATGGCCTATCAATATGCGGATGCATACGATGCCGTCTGTACGATGTACTGAATTCGGGCAAATATACCCACCAAGTAGAGTCGCAGTGTTGTTATGCGAGTAGCTGAAGCTGAACTGACGATTGAGGACTATCCTAGCAGCAGTGATGGGGACTAGGGGTGCGCCGATTCACATTGGTCACGAATCCATCCATCAGAACAACCAACCTAGTGAGTTAGGAAAACAACGTAGCTGAAGCCACAATACTTGTCACAACAATATTGCGAAATCGGATGCGGATTGCGTGTTTGTATCCGATACCGTTAGATGATCATGCCGAAACATCACTTCGTTGTTTACGCTAGAAAAAACTGTGTGTTTATTCCAACAGGCATGGTCACAAATCTATTCACCGATCCAACTACTCGTCTATGGTATCCTACCAGTAACCAACTGAGGATCAGAGTACATGTTCCGAATGACACAGTTTGAGGGCGAAAACTCTGTATCGGTCAATGGCAAGTCCATTGTCACGGTGATTTATTACGGTTTGTCATCTCTGTTCTATATAACCTAGACTAGGCCCGTGCGAAGGTACTGATCAAACAGCATCGCACTACTATTGCGCAAGTAGCTTTGGACTTCGGGGAGCTCAGTGGTTTGGGCACCAGCTTATGCACCGGGACATCCATGGTTCGAACCCAACCTCAAAATCCTGTTCCGGCTTACCAGTATTCCAGCCCTTGTGCCCATTCCGTTGGCATGGCAGCTAAGCATCGGAAGGGTATTACAGCCGATTGATTGTTTTTTTTTATTGTTTTGAACTTCGGGCGGTGGTGTATGCTTGAAGTGGCATTTAATGGTTGAGTGAACTGTAATGTACATTTGCAACATCCACAGACTTTATTCAGACTGTTTTGAAAACGAATCCCAGAATGAGGGAACGTCCGCACGAACGCTGACGTCCATAGCCGGTAACGAAAACCAGTAGATGAATTGCACTCTACTCCATGGTTGCTGGTGACCTAGATGAATTGCACTCTACTCCATGGTTGCAGGTGGTTGAAAGAAAACCATTTTCTATGACAATCGACAGTTGACCGCACTAGCCAGGTCAGGCCTAAAATCTAACCACAATTATTACGGAATTTCCGCCACGGGCTTCACGAGTAAAACCAATAAGTGATTAAAGAGATCTTAATTGAGAAAATAGTAGACTGCTCAGCCTAAGCAAAGATGATCACGATCATGATGAGTGTGTTTGGTTATTCGAATACGAAGTGTATTCGGTTTCGGTGAAGAAGAACGGAATCCAAAAGCCAATTGGCTCCACTCTACGCTTATCATGACTTGGAGTTTGATAGCGGCTCTAAATAGCTAGGACTCATGGTCAAGCACATATCCCACCTCTATCAAAATACTTATCAATTCGGTTGACCTGCTGACATCGAGCAATGTCATTAAGCAGAACATATGAGTGCAATTTTACTTCCTGGTAGGTGATATGAGCCACCGCGTAACCTTTCATAAGGATAGTAAGATTGCCATACCCAGTCGTACGACGCATCTACCTGTCATGAGCAATCAGTGCAACTGTAACCGTACTATCACCTTGCTCACAAGGCACTACATAACCCCCACGTTGTACCCTCATTTCTTAAAAGAGGACTCCCGCTTTTCGACAAAAAAGGCTTCTCTAACCGGGTACTATCATATTCTCGAGCTCAAATTTGAAAGTGTGATGTATGACGATCGCTTTAGCTTATGTAGGAGTGCCATAAAAGGCCAGTAGTAGACACTTCTATCGGCCTAACGTGCTCTGACTGAAACAGGTTCATGAGATATTTACCAACCTCGAAACTTGCTATATCGCTCACGTATTGAAATGAATGCACGCCAGTTCCAAATGCTAGCAACAGCGCTAACAGACTGAAGCTAATTGTACGCTGCACACATGGAATAGCGTGCTTTGCACGTTGAGTAAATCAATGGGCGAATGAGTGCTTAAGCAACCAGCTGCTTTAAAACTTGTGATATCATCAAAGAAAGCCCTGAAAGCGATAACGCTTGCATTTTGAGGTGTCTGATTTCGAGCAACAACATCACCGCTGAACAAGTTCAGAATCCGCTCCGGAATTCAGATCGCTACACCCAGCGCATGTTGGTGGATTTTGCTGTTTCTCTCATACTAGTAATATTTCCAGAGATTTTTCGTCAGATCGCTCGCACCGGGTGTAAAATAATTTGGGGATGAAGGCTAATATTTGGCGCAGTAATTGAGAAAGAAATCTAAATGGCTCGATAGAAATGGACCCCTCACACAGACCCTTTCCCACCCACTGAACGATGCGGTTTAATCGACCAACTTGCTAAATCCCCAGTCATTGTTCCGCGTCGAAACTGTCGCCCAGAAAAATGAATTAAATTAATCACTTCATTATCATCGTCATCATCGATAGCATGACATCAGTGTTCAACACCGATGCTTCACTGCCGTACAACCATGATTTATTTGAAAGCCTTATTGTAAAGAAAAGAATAAAGGTGGACGTAGTGCTAGCTTACCACGATCATTCCGAGGTGCCTACACCTCCAGACATTCACTCAGGCAATCTGGACAGAAACTGACAACAAGAACGCCACTGACATCGGTTGGCAGCCATATCTTATAGTGTCTCCAACCAGGCACAGTGAGGATCACGCGGTCCCCATCCTGGAAAGCGAGTAGCACCGACAGCACCCAAGCGTTTCGTGATCTCCTTCATACTCCTCTGCCGAGTCAAGGGTTGGCCACCTCTCTGTTTACGCCAATCTGAGTTGGCATGGAAAACAACACTCTCTTCGGCAAACGATAACTTACAAACTTCAAAAGGTCTGGTCCACGTCGCCGCCTTTATTGTGCGTACTTTGTCAAATCGGGCAACAGGCATCCTTTGTTGAGACCTTGCTTTCCCTCTATCGATGTATGTTGTCTCCGAAACTCGACTTGATTGGTAGATCTCAAGCCATTTAGGACAGGCTCAGATTTTCCACGTTCCACTGTTCGGGTATCTAGTGGTCCTGACACAATGGCCCGTGGTACCTACGGTGCAAAAGTTGCACTCAGTCCCAGGGCTGAAATCCCTTTACTGAACTGGATCCCAGTAAACAATCGTCTCCTCGATGTGTGGTCATTTGTCTCCATAAAGATGAGTGCCAGTCGATGAAATAAACGGTGTTTATTTGTCGTATCAGCACACACCTCGATAAACGGCAGTTCTGAGTATATTAAAGGCGGATTTCATCGTGACTCCTTCGGTCGGCAACAAGAACAGACTAAAAACTAGTGCATATTTTGGACGAAAACAGATTTCTAGTGAAATGGGACGAATCGCAATGATTTCGGTCCTCAAAAGGGGTGTAAAGATGTCATATGAAACCATAGTACCATCAGTCTGCTAGCCGTGGCTTGCAAGGAGCTCCCTGGCACTATTTTGAGCAGGTTGATCGATTACCGTAAGAAGCAGACTAGCGAGAATCAAGCTGGATTTCGTCTCGGCTGGGGGGTCTTGAACAGCGCCATTCCTTCAAACGTTCCACGTTGATCGTCCTTCTGGATCTGAGGGCTGCTTTTGACTCTGTTGATCGTCAGAAATTTCGGCATTACCTACGATCAAAGGTATCCCTTCCAAATTAATATCTCTTATGAGGACACTGTATGCGAACTCCTGTGAGCGGGCAAAGATATACAGCAATCTTCTGTCACATACAATAGTTCAAGATAAAGTTGTCCTCTCTCGCTGCCTGAAATTCCCTGCCCGCCTCAAAAACCTCGAGGATCGAGATGCGGGACGTTCGCTCACAGACACTGAGTGTGCGGACGATAATGCGCTTCTTGGTTCACATCGGCACGGTTTGGCATGCGCTTCACACCAGCAACGTGTAAAGTGCTGTTATAAGACAAGGCGGATCAAACCCAATCCTTATGCTTGCCGACGAGCCAACCGACGTCCTAGATAAATTTATTTATCTGGGCAGTCGCATGAGTTCCAGTGGACCGGCTACATATGAGGTTACTTCTAGCATCGGGAAGGCCAAAGCAACTTTTGCCAACCTCCGATACTTGTGGCACTGACGTGGTGTCAGTTCGTCCGTCAAGGGTAAAGCTTACACTGCGGCATTGCTATCCATACTACTTTATGAATCAGAAACCAGGCCTGTACGTACAGAGGCGTTTGACCGTCGATGCCTCCGAAAGTGGTATGAATATCGAATTATTAATGCTGAGCTATGCCAGACTGTTCCCCAAAAAAGGAACTTTCATATGACAGATGAACTACTCATGCTCTGCATGCTACGCTGGTAAAGATATGCACTCCGTATGCCAGAGAACTTTTCGCTCTGCCATGCGCTGAATAGAAGAGACTGGAGGGGTGAAGTCTGTACTTTCTTTCCCCCCTCCTGGCCAAACTCTTCCCTGGTCTGAGCCCGCTGTTTACTAGAATCGATATGCATTTGTAACCCCTCATGAACTTTTAACCCTTAACACTTTTAACCAATTTCGATCGACCATCTTTTATGCGCGCTTTTTGACCATGTGTTATCGCCTGTTGTGTGTAGGCGTCGACAGCTGCCGTCTCTTTCGGGATGGAGATCCCGGGACTCGAATGGTTAAAGATACTGACAGAGATTGCTTACACGCGCAGTCACCGGCACTCCTGCATCAAAATTATCGACTTCAATGCGTATTTGTCCAGACCATGACAAACTGGCCAAAACATAGCCTCGGATCTTGGCTGCACCTCTCCAGCTTTCCCATGTTCCGGTGACTGAAACCGTAACATCTGTAACTGATGTAACCTGGTTTATAGCTGATAAACTAGGCTAACGTGAACTTCCCTTGGAAATCAGGTTAACTAGAAAGTACACGCTCTTTGATTCTGAACAGTTCGCTTTCCTGAGAGCGGATTGCAACGGAAAAATTCAAAACCATCTCTACATAGGAGAAGGGTCCGCTTTCATGGGTTTCTCCGAAGAAAAGTGGGATGTACCAGGTGTCATTTGGTGCCATTACGTCGGGCGTACCCATTACAGGTCATCCAAAAAAACAAGCGTGTGGGGATAGAAGCCGAACCACTGCTTGCTAACCATTGGCTGACGATGCGTAGTAGATGTCTTAAACACGGGTGACTAATAGAAGTTGTCTGCAAGGAATCGCCAATAGTTAAAAACAATATTACTTTCATCAAATGTAAACCTATTCACAAAGTGAAGATGCACAACTGGGAACTGGCGCATGTTCAGTAGATGCATGTTTACAAAAATTACCCGTCTTGTTCGTCCAGCAACCCCCGCCCCCCGGCATCACGTCCAGGAAACATATAAAATTTTTGGAACCAAGGGTACGTGTAGTCTTCAAATTTGTTATTCACGCGATGTTTGGTCCAGT